TTTGGCCACTGAGGCCACTTCGTGAAAACGGTGACGATATGAACTCCAGTTCCTGCACTGGGCAGCCGTCTACTTTGTTCTCGGGGCGTTGAACTAAATCTAACACGCTGTGCCGCTGGCATCTGTGAATCTGCAGTTGGTCCTGATGCAGTTTGTCCACTCAGAGTTGGGGGAAATGCTTCCTGGAGGCCTGGTTCTGGGTCTGCAACTGGTACCTGACTCATCGAAGCACGTAGTTGCTCCATCATTTGATCTACTTCTGTCATACTCCTTTCTAAGTGCTTCATCATTTCTCCTGGCGTGGTCGATTCTGCCTATTTCTTCCTTGTGCCATTGTCACTGGATCCCACTTCTGACACCACATGTAACGAAACCGGAGCTCTGTCGAATACTCCCCAGCAGCTTACCCAGGACCAAAATCCAGTTGAAACCAATTGGAGCAAAACCAATTGAAACCAGTTGCCAACTGGTTTCAATAGGGAAATTGGAACAACTGGTTCCAATTGAAACCAGTTGCCAACTGGTTCCAATTAAAACCAGTTGAAACCAATTGCCAACTGGTTCCAATTGAAACCAGTTGAAACCAATTGCCAACTGGTCCCAGTTGCCTAATTGGTTTCAACTGGAACCAGCTGTTCCAATTTCCCTATTGAAACCAGTTGGCTTCAATTGGTTTCAATTGGTTTCAACTGGTTTCAACTGGTTTCAATTGGATCCAATTGAAACTTACAGTTGGCATAAACTTAATTAGTTATAAGTTAATTAGCTCTTGCACTAATTATCGCTAATGTCAACACAGAAGCATTGTTATATGTGTCTACATTAAGTACAATGTAAAGGGAATCATAATATGCAGACCATATAATATACTTAACAAGAAAGGCATTGCCATTATATATGTTTGTATTTGATGTATTTTGTACATGGTTAGTGTTTTACTAATCAACTTTTAATCTGTGTAATTACAAAAATATGTTACTAATGAACATGCTTATCATTGCTAATTAATCTTTATATTTATCTAAAACAAATGCATTACTTGCAAATGAAAATTAATTAATAAGTACATTGTAAATCAAAATAAATTACATAAAACATTGATCTGCACACAAGCAGATAATATGCAAATTAACTGGTTTCAATTGGATCCAGTTGGGTAACTGGAAATATTTCCAATTGGAACCAATTGTGTAACTGGAAATAAATTCTAACTGGAACCAGTTGGGTAACTGGAAATTACTTCTAACTGGAAATGAATGCTAACTGGAACCAGTTGGGTAACTGGAAATGAATTCTAACTGGAACCAGTTGGGTAACTGGAAATTACTTCTAACTGGAAATGAATGCTAACTGGAACCAGTTGGGTAACTGGAAATAAATTCTAACTGGAACCAGTTGGGTAACTGGAGATGAATTTTAACTGGAACCAGTTGGGTTACTGGAAATGAATTCTAACTGGAAATGACTTCTAACTGGAACCAATTGGGTAATTGGAAATGAATTCTAACTGGAACCAGTTGGGTAACTGGAAATGACTTCTAACTGGAAATGAATGCTAACTGGAACCAGTTGGATAACTGGAAATGAATTCTAACTGGAACCAATTGAGTAACAGGAAATCATCTTACTGTTTCCAGTTGAACTTCTAACTGGAACCAGTTGGGTAACTGGAAATATGACCTCTAACTGGAACCAATTGAGTAACTGGAAATATTACCTTACTGGTTCCAGTTGCACTTCTTATTGGTTTGAACTGGAAATGAGTACCCATAACAATATTTTCCAGTTCGGCAATTGGTTTCAACTGGAAATGTTATATTCCAATTGAAACCAATTGAAACCAATTGAAACCAGTTGAAACCAATTGAAACCAGTTGGAGATTTCAACTGGTTTCAATTGGATTTTGGTCCTGGGTATCTTGTCAGGATGCCTTCTGCTGGTATGTTTTCTTAGTCCGGTACCAATTTCGCCGTGGATCCGTTTGGCAGAGATATACTGCCCCGTTGACCTTGCACCACCTCTCGACCACCGTCCAGTCGACACTACCAGACCGTGTACAGGTCTGTACTTCACCACCGTCTTCTACCAACCGTTGTACCGTCGTGTACCACCAGTCGACTAAACCAGTCCGCTTCTGCACCTTTCAAACGTCTATACTAGTCTGCTTGTGCATGCAACTCCAATTGGCCGCACCAGTTTGCTTCATGCACCTTTCAGACGTCTATACTAGTCTGCTTGTGCATGCAACTTCCATTGGCCGCACCAGTTTGCTTCATGCATGCACCTTCAAACAACCAGACCGTCTGTCTTTGTACAGTCAGCTTACTCGTGCCACTGGCTCTGCTACGCAGTAAGTCCCTACCAGCCGTCTACTCCAGACCACCGAAAGAGCAATCCCTGGTATCGTCTAATGCTAGAACGCAAAAGACCCAACAAACACAACCTAGATCCTAACCATGGTCGTCACCTGAGATCAGAAATCAATCTTAGGCTTCCTCATGGAAAGACATGCAACGATCATCTCAATCATTTCGTTGCACGCAATACTTTATTGGGCAAATATCCAAACATAGCCTAATTGCCTTACAGTGTAAGTGTTGCCCAGTGGGCGACGGCAATTATGTAGACTAAGACAGGAAACTCGTAGACACGTGCGACAATTGATTTATATACACATTTCTTATACATTTATTATTCTGGTTAGGTTTCCAAAAATTACATAAACATTGATATAACTCCACTTTCCAATATCAGATTGAAACAAACCATATATCAAATGAAAGCACTAGTTTTATTCTATAAAACTAAACAAAAGAGAACAAGTAATTGTTAATGGTAGAAAAGTAATTACACTAAAACTGTCAAAAACATGCACAATCGAACATTCTTAAAATTAACACGTGACTTTAGCGTCGTATATTTAACCTGAACTACGCCATCTACGCCGAAATAACTATCTACGAAATGAAACCAATTTCGTGACAGTATGCTTTATATAGCTTTTTGCGCAAAAAATGAAAGGTAAATTATAAGCTTTTAAATTCATTTTATGTCTTCTTGGGAAAATATCATCAAAGAAATGTCCCCTTTTATAACTACATATATTCAAATTAACTTTAATGTAAATGTCATAAGAAAAAGCTTAGAAGTTTGGACCTGCTCATGTGTGTGATAACATATATACAACGTCATGTAACTATTTCTTTGTCACTTTTGCATGAATATGCAAATCCATCTTTTACATGAAATATGTTCAGCTTTCCGATATTTTTTTCTATTTTGTCTTAGCTTTGGAATAGTATGATTTCGTCGTCATTGCCTGATAGTAATGATGATGACGATCTTTTGATTTTACATGAATGTATATTGCAATAGCATCTAGGTGTTTCCACACTAATTAGTAAACAGTAAAACGTCATTTTATATAGGTACATAACGCTTTTAGATGAACAAAATTTATATTGTTAAAAAGAGACGTGACATATTCATAATGATCGTGAATGAAGCTAAAAACTCATGAATTGTAATCATTTAACATGCAGAAGTCATTTTTATACAGGTACATAGTCTATGTTTTAGATGAAAACAATTCATATTGTTAAAAAGAGACGTGTCTTCTTCATAATCCTGAATACTGAAAACTCATGAATTGCCTTGTTTTTTATGTAAAAAATAAAAAATGTCATTTATTAAATTCTTTTTTTCTTTCTCAAGTACATTTTATATACATGTGTACATGCAACTTGAAGAAGTGTTCATCTTTGTAGTACAGTGAGGTGACGTTACTGGCTGATGATGTTGATGACGGTGATGATTAGGATTACATGCATATTGGTGATGTTCATTTTATTAATGGTGATGAAGATGTAGGTGGTGGTAATGATGATGATAGTGATGTACTGATAATAATAACGAAAATAGTGGGTTCTTATAGACTAGCGCTCATGTCTGTCAGACTATTATATTATATACACTCCTGGGGGATGTTTCACAAAGACTAAGATTGACTTTAAGTTGGAAATAACTATGGCACGCCGTTCATGCCACCGTTTACTCTCACCATTATATCTTTAGATAATACGTCTTCCTTCCACACTGAATTATCCCAAAATGTAAACTTTGTAGATTTGTGACCATGATTTGTACAGTAAATGGTGAGAGAAAACAGTGGCACGAACGGCCTGCCATAGTTAAGTCCAACTGAAAGTTGATCTTAGTTTGGTGAAACACCCCCTGGTGCTTCAGTTGTTACCCGGCCTTAGCGTGGCTGTCATGATAAATAAAGAATAAACTGAGGGACTCGAATCGCGAATCATGTGATCCACAGTCATGTACGGTATTATCTAGACCACAACACTATCTACAGTAACGATGATATTAATGCTGATATAACTGACGATGATGATAATAGCGATGTTGATGATGATAGTGATGTTGATAAGTGATGATGATGTTAAATGATGGTGACAGATATGTTATTATCTGATGGTGATTATAGCTGATGTTGATAACTGATGAATACGGTGATGATATAATTTGAGGTGAAGTCACACATGTACTTGTAGAATATTTGAAAATCCTATTTTGACCGAGCTTGTATAAAAGGCATCGTTTAACAATGTTAAATATACGATACATGGCCCTGTAGTGTTATAAAAACCTTTAGGAAAACAAATTTTTAAATTTCTATTTTTCAATCATAAATATCTTGATATTCAGACAGGCGATCGGCTAGTAAAAGTCATGGGGTTCCTGACTGATCTAAAGGTTTATAATTATCATTGCAGCATGAGCTAAATCCAGGATTTTGTTTCAGAATCTGAGACAAAGTTACCCAATCCCTTTAACAGATACATGTACTTGCAATGTTTTCATGGACATTGTGAATAACATGCAAAGTAAAAAAAAAAAATATATATATATATATATTTGCACATTGTGCGTAGTAGATTTCAAGGAGAGTAGTTGCTGAACTGGAGATAAATAAATGTCAAGACACTTTTCTCTTTATGCAAAAAATGAAAAGGCATCTCTTTTAATCTGACGTGTACAAACGTAAAATGATAACAGTTACTCGCAGATACAGATACAATATTATACTCGCCAACTCCATTTTATCAAATTATTGACTACTTGTACATCATAAATGATGGCAAGTGATCAGAAGCTCTACACATACATGTAACAAATGAAATGATGATATACATACACTAGTTTTACTACAATAACATAATAGTATATATTACATTTACATAACATGTTCATGATTTGCTAATAAGCAGAGTTTGTGAATATTTTTCTGTCTTCGTCATATCATAGGTAAGTCCTATCAATATACAATTATTCATTTGCTGAATGCTTTAATGTAAGAGTTCATAATCTGATGGATGATAATAAAAGTACATTCTATTTGAAATTCCAGTAATTAACAAAGAATTTATATTCCTATTTTTTTTTTTTTTTTACATATATCACATGATTACACAGTCATTTATATATTATCATTTGAAAGATCAGTATTTAATACATGTGTTCATATCGTACTGGAATTCAGATTATATATTTCGTGGGGGTAGTACATTAACTAGAAAAGCATTATCTAAATCTAAATAATACTAAAAATACAAATACTGGTAGATATACAGGAAACACTACCTGGTATAACGTCGCTATCCTTGAAATTTCATAATACCATAGGTTGTTTGGTGCTGCTTTGGAATATGAGAAATCATCTTTGGCATATCTCTTTCCTTTGAATTACTGACACTACATGAAGTTTGTTTCCTGGCTATTTATAGGTCAAACCGATATAATAGGACATATAACAAAACAAGCCTAATATATAACACAATTATCGGGTATAGGCATATTTGATTTGTACACACTGTAACATATAATGCAATATACCAGTTCCTAGTAGCACATGGTACAAATTACCCCAAATATCCACAGATCTTTTGCCCATGGAGTAGTTCCACTTTGTGAATTTTAGAATAATCACCTCCAAAGTCATGGCTGTGATTCATGGATTATGTTTGGAAGAATACTTCCACCTGTGTCCCATAGAATAGTTATTATGTAACCTTCATGAACACGTATCCAGTATTCATTTTTACAACTTTGGTACACACGACCCTCATCTTCAAACTGGCCCTCATCTACAGACTGGCTTATCGGTTGTGAACTAGGCATGTAATACATCTTTGTTTAATAACATCGTCATACAGAAATATATGTCACATAATGTCCTCATAAAGGCATTTAGAAAAACTCAATCAAATAACTGTTCTTTAAAATATTCTTCCTCATGAATAACTTTGGTCCAGAGACCATTCATCTCAGCTACTACTCTGTTATGTCCCTTTCCGAGGAAACCTGTCTAATTTCCACTGTAACTTGACAAAAGTTAGTAAAACAGTAAATGCCTTCTTTCTAGACAAGTCAAACATTATTTTTTTAGTATTAAAACTTTGGTTGCTTTGTTCGTCGGTCTGTATGGTCCCTTGTTTGCCACATGTGCAATTTTGCACAAAACAATATGCACCAATCAACAGAAAAATTGCTTTGTGCAACACAATGGCTTGGCAAAATGACACATATCTGGGCACGTTACATAAAACTACCATTGATGGTAACTTTGCCATCAATGACAACTACCATGGTAACAGGGCTCAACAGCCAATCAAAACCAAGGTTTCCATAGTAGTCACCATTGATGGCAAAGTTACCATCAATGGTAGGTTTTGTGCAACAGGACCCTGGTCTTGGTTAGCTCCATGACAACCCTTTTAACCCTTTGCTTACTGGAACCTGGTGTTCTCTGTGTTAAGCCTATGGGAATTAGATCATTCAGTAGTAAACGGGTTAACACCGGTATAGATTGATCTTGCACTAGTAACAGGTAAACGATCTCATGGTGTATACGTCCCATTATAAAACACAATGGCACAGTGACTCAGTGAGATTATTTGAATGGCATATAAAGAGTTAAAGACATTTATTCCTGAATTAGCTATGCAGCTCCATGACTGAAAAACAAGGCAAACCTTGAACAGGTATACATGTAGGTATGAAAGATCATGGCTCTATTTCACATGGAAAAGCTAGAAAATCAATTATATATTTAAAAACATGATTTGAAACACAGAAACATTTTAACTTTAATATGAAACTTTTCTCAAAGCATATAAATGTATGTACGGCTGACTACGTATATTCATGGCTAAGAAAGTTCAATGCACTTTTCTCATAGGATTCTATCTGGATGGATGGTACTAAGGAAATTCAATGCACTTGCAATAAATTTCAAAATAATTTTTGTCAAACTAGGACCCTGCCCACACGCAATTTGCTAATAAGGGTATATAAAGGGCTATTAAAGCCACCGTAATCTTTGTGTGTCTCTAAAATAACTTTTGTCCTAACAGCACTTGCTACCTTCTAAACTGTGTGGAATGATGCATTTGTGAATATAAAAGAAGACTTTCTCGTTTCGTGCAACGTAAATCCACGGTACAAAATGTCAACCTTATTTGGAAGCACATACAGACGTCATACCATGATAAGATGTGCTCTATAAAAGAAGAATCGACTATCATTTTCATTACCAATATGATCCTGGCTATTAAAATGCAGAATGATTTTTTTGCCGAGGACAGGGCTGTTCCGTTTGTGGTAGCTCTGGGGAGTGTTTCACAAAGACTAAGATCGACTTTAAGTTGGACTTAACTATGGCAAGCAATCCATGCCACTGGTTGCTATCACCATTACGATCTTTAGATAATATTTTTTCCTTCAATAATGATCACTATCAAAAAATGTTAATCCTGTAGATTTCTGACCATGATGTGTACGTCCCTTAAAGAGACAAATGCCAGTAAATGGTGAGAGAAAACAGTGGCATTGAACGGCCTGCCATAGTTACGTCCAACTTAAAGTCGATCTTAGTCTTTGTGAAACACCCCCTGGTGTTCATCTAATCTACAACATTTCCACGTAGTTTGCTGGGAAGAGGCCGACCTTACCCCTACAGACCCCCTTCCACCAACCATCGTCAATCTGTAAACAGCAGCAAAGAAAACAATAAAATATGATTAAAGCTTGGCTAAGATATACAACCATAAAAACTGCGGCAGTTTTTTTACGAGATGTAAAGTGTAATAGTAATATGCCTTAAATATTTGTATCTTACAACATAGACTTGGTGTGTACGCGTAGGATCTTTGTTGTGCCCAGTTGCCATTCTTTTACACCTTTACAACAACAAAAAAACATTTTTCCCCGGCCGTTCACCATATTATGTTTGAACGAGCCTTAAAGGTAAAGATCAGTTTTGGAAATGCCCCCCTCTCAAAAAATGAAATGGAAGCTCTTATTACCAATCATGTGAAAGAATATGTTTTGACTAATAGGTGATACAAATTTTGCCCAGAAACCGCCTTCTAATTGATATATTTGGTAAATCATTATATATATTTGGACCTGATAGATATTGCGCACATGTCACGCACATGTAGCGTAGTCCCATATACATTTCTTATCATTTTGATGATTCCAGAACCTTTCAGTACACACTAATACTTATATGCTAGATGATCAACCTTTTCTGATCGGTTCCACAGTGTTTCTTTCACAATGCAATCGCATGACCATAACTGGTCTTTATCTTTAAGTAATTATAGATCACCAAGATTGCATGTAATGCTCATGGTTAATAATGCCTGTGGAGGACAATTTCTGTTCTTGAAATGTGAATCAATGATATCTTCTGAAACTGAATCTGAAATTGAATAAATACACTTACCGTTTCTACGTGTGTGATTATTTCATTTGGGTCAAAGGTCAATTCATCTTCAGCAGCTGTTTGGAGAAAAAAATAGCAAAAAAAATAAAAATCACACATTTTTAGAGACCTCCAAGGAAGGGCTTTTACTAATTATCCTTCTCGCTTTGGAAAAAAACATAACGTATGGTTCTTGTTTTTTTTTTACGACAATCTGTCACACACATATTTTGGCCCCCAACATATAAACTTGTAAGTCTGATATTTATATTTTTATATATTATCTTATTTAATGTCTAGAAACACAAAGGAGTATAACAATAATAACAAATTCATAGCGGGATTCTCCTTATTAGCTAATTGGTAGAGTACATAATTAATTCAATTTTAATCAATAAGATGAAAGGGAAAAAAAAGATATCATGAAACACTGATTTTATTACAAATCAAAAACCTTTGAACATGACCATAAAATTCAATTCTGTAAATTTTAACTGTGTTACATGTAGCTACGTCGTTAACATGAACTGTGATAACAGTGACAGCTGTATTGGTTGCATTTATCCACATGCCACTCTTCACCATTTTGTATTAAAATGGGTACCCTATACGCCAGGGCGCGACATATTCGGCCCCCAGCTATGACCGGGTAAGAATGTCAGACACCAGGAGCATCTCGGCCGAGGTGAGGTAAATGGGAAAATGGCAGGAATTAATTCCTTAAAATACTGTCAGCCATGCTAAGCCAAGGTATTAATTGTGGAGCACCAGGAGAGTCAAGTCTGACAGACATGAGTGCTATACACAAACAGACTATTATTATTATTATCATCATCATCATCATCACCACCATGTTTTCCATCTTCAATGTCATTATTGATTGTCATCATCTGATCATCAGCATCATCATCACTGTCATAACCATCAGAATCAATATCATCATCATCCTCATCACCATCATCGTTAGCAGCATCATCATCATTGATGAACATGTGAGCTACATAAAGAACGCACCTTCCAATGGTCTAATTACAGTCAAACCTGTCTACCGCCCAAGGGAAACACAAACTAGATGGAACTTCGACTGCGCGCAGTCGAAAATGATGCCTCCGTCATAGAGCAAGTTTACAAACCAAAACAGAAGAAATTTTTCAAATTCAAGTTTCATTGTAATCCATTAACAGGTTTTCAGAATATCATGATTACAAGCAATTTCTCATGACCCTTTGATCTTTGACCTCATGACCCTAAAATCTACTCAGTTCATTGACTCTGCAAGATGTCCTGAGTTAAATAGTAATCCATCTGTCAGTTCTAATGAGAATGCGTTCATAAGCTATTTTTGCATACATAATGAGCCCATGACATTTGAACTTTGACCTCATGACCCAAGAATCTACTCAGTTCATTGGCTCTGCAAGATACATACATGATCTAAGTTTGGCAGGAATCCATCAATCTGTTCTAATGATAATGCAATCACAAGCTATTTTTGCATACATAATGAGCTGCATGACCTTTGACCTTGACCTCATGACCCCAAAATCTAATCAGTTCATCGGCTCTGCAAGTAACATACATGACCTAAGTTTGGCAGGAATCCATCAATCGGTTCTTGAGATAACGCGATCACGAGCTGTTTTTGCATACATAATAAGCCCTGTGACCTTTGACCTTTGACCCCAAAATCTAATCAGTTCATTGGCTCTGCAAGATACATACATGACCAAAGTTTGGCAGGAATCCATCAATCGGTTCTTCAGATAACGCGATCACGAGAACGGGACGTACGGACGGACGGACAACCCGAAAACATAATGCCTCCGGCTACTTCGTAACAGAGGCATAAAAATGTCCTTTGTAGACAGGTTCATCTAGTACATGTTTCAATAAGAAACCATTTTCAAGGGAAACAAAAAAAGTGCTTGTTGTAGACAGGTGGTCACTAAAGCAGGTTTGACTGTACATGTATCTGAATGATAAGTAAAGATTCTGACTTACTAGCTTGGTAATCATAGAGGGCCTTAGCCCGGAGACCATCCTGACCCTCAGGTACTGCTTCATAGGTGTCGTCCTCAACAGGTTCATTCTGGGGTGGCAAGTCCTCGTAGGTGGAATCATCGGCCACTGGAGCACGATCTAGGAGAACAATTACAGAAAGAGCATTGTTTCATCAAAGGATATGAAATGATACTTATTATATTCCTTCTACTGTACTAATCCCCTAACATGTGAAAAATCCTGAAAAAATTCTCAAACCACAAAGATATTCAAGGTTTTCTTTGAAGGCCTCTAACAGTAAATTCTCCCGGCCATTTTTGAACTTTCCCAACCCCTTTTCCATGTAAATAAGACATAAGACAGGCTTTAAAACAAATCTTTCACTCTTAAAAGTCTAGAATGGTATATAGAGCCAATTCATTGCTCTGTGACGATTTACATTCACCTTAAATGTAAATAAATTGTAATAATATAGTTCTGAGAATTAAGGAAAAGATTAGATCAGTTTTTCCCAATTGTTATCATTAAGAATGGTCTCTTTTCAATCAAACTTTCAGATTATCTTAAATTGTACATCTAGCATTGAATTCACTACCTTAGCACCATTTTCTTTCATCTGAACAATGTTACCAAGTCCCTTTAAAGTGTCTGTACATATCAGACCTGTTTAAACCTGTTTTATACTAAATGTATTCCTGGTAATAAAACATTTAATTCACCTAATAAACATAATGGCATCTCTAATTATAGATTCTACTGGCAAGCTTTTGAGGCGTCAAAGGAAACTTTCTTCAAATATGCTTAGGAACATAATAATTACAATGGGCAGCACTTAGAAAAATAGAACCTCTATCAAACACTATAAAAAAGTGACAAATATTATAGTGGAATACTCACCAACTTCTTCGTAAGTCTGTTGACCCATGTCATCGGGAGGCTGATCGTAAGTTGCTGTTGCGTCTGCATCCGCATACGTATCCTCCGGCTCGTCGAAATTCGTTCCCACGTCTCCTGTATCCTCGTACAGGTTCGGTTCGTCCGGCGTCGAGGGGAGGGGCTGAGCCTGTCGCCCTGGTAACGACGGAAGCTGCTTGCTCTGTCGAGGAGGGGGGAGTGCTGGGGGTTCTTCTTGGTCTGCTTGTGTCTCCCATTCGTCATCGGCTGCTGCCGGTGGAGGTTCGCGACGTGGTGCTGCGGCGGGCTCAGGCAGGCGGGCTCGCTGTGGCTCTGGCGCAGGTTCCCGTTCTGGCTCTTGCTCCGGCTCCGGCTCATCTGGAAGGGCTCGGTGATGCTCTGCTAAGGCTCTCTGCCTCTCCTGGATTATTAATAATCAATCACAACAATCAATATTAGATAGGATGGGTGTGTTCTTTTATTAACCTTTCAGGACCAATGACCTGGGAGCTGTTTCACAAAGCCTTTTTTCAATGACAAATCTGCTGATAATCAATAAGAAGCAAGGATTTCAGTAGCTTGTAACAAACACTGTAATTTGTCACTGATGACAAGTTTTGTGAAATGTGGCCCATCAGTGCCCTGTTTCACCAAGTAACAATAACTGTTATAAGCTACTGAAATCTTGGCGTTTGATTGGCTGAGAGCAATTTGTCATAGAAATGTATTTCACAGCTAATACACCAGTTTACAGTTGTATCAGTGCGTATGCGCAGACATGGGCGCCATTTTAAATGGCGAGTAAACAAAGCCAATGACCCGAGGTCATGGATTTATGCGTAAATTAAGATTGCGCCCATGCAAATTACGATGACATCACTGCCTGCGCGCTGCGCTGTGCCCTCGCATCATAATTTGCATGGGCGCAATCTTAATTTACGCGTAAATACCACTGACCTTTAGGTCATTGGCTTTGTTTACTCGCCAATTAAAATGGCGCACACAACTGTAAACTGGTGTATTATTAGCTCATTTTCGGTAACATATATTCCCCAAATCACGAGCAAGAGGAATATTCAAAAGCAGTGTTTTACGTACCTCCTCCTTTTTCTTGTCCGCTTCTTTTTCCTTCTGTTCCCTTGCTTGTCTTCTCCCTCTCTCTTCCTCTGCTTTTCTTCTGCTCTCCTGTTAACAAAAAGAGAAAGAAACAAATTATGATTTCCAAGTTCAAAACTCTTTATAAAAAGAATTTGGTTGATATACATGTACTGTATAATGAAAGAACTCAATGGCCTAGTACAAAACAGGATATCACCCTAATTATTCTTTTGATCATCACATTAAGAATATGTGAAATAATTTGTAAGAGCATAAAACTTTGATGGGATTCCTGATACCTCACTATCAGCTCATGAAAAGGAAATTACTTTGTCACAAAAATTCAGACAAAGAGTACAAGTTTGAAAGATGTATTGAGCAATAATGATAAAATCGATATCAATACATTTGTATTTAACACTTTTAATTAAGCTTTTTCTTTACAATGTTCGTATAAATTGTGATTGTTCATTGGCTGAATGTCAGGAGGATTTGTTTGCAACACCCCCCGCCCCCCCCAAAAAAAAAAGAGGAACAAGAAGACTTACCTCTTCTCCTGCTTGCGCCATCTGTTCAAACTTATTCCTCATGTTTCCAGCGCCACTTTTAGCTACGTAGGGTGAACAAAATAAAAACATCAATATCCAGGTAGTACTATTCAAGATAATACTATTCAAGAAATATCAGTATTTTACTTAGTTTTCGACTTAGATAAAATTCAGTTCAAGCCTTTGGCTAAGTATTTTACCCTAAATTTAAGACAGCTTCCTAGCAGACTTAAGCCAATTATTTGGAGGCCTTGATTGGCAGGCATATACTTTTATAACACAGTATCATAACCTGGGCATATTATGAGCACGCATTTCAACGTGTTAATTGCACATTATTTTGGAATGACAATGTGATGTCACAATAAAGTAAAATGCTCAGAATTGATTTGATTACGAGTTGAGACACATTCCTTAGCCTAGTAAAATGCTAAGTAAAATACAGACTTGATCAAAGTGCTGCAAACGATGTTATCTTTCATGTACTTGGTACTTGGTTGGTTGCTCCTCCAAAATACTTGTTTGAGTTTTAACTGGATAGGGTGGATTAATTTGTGGATGGAGGAAAAGTCAGGGCAGTTTTTAATTTGACGCGGTCAGAGTGGAAGATAGTCTCCGGCTTAAGCTGGTTCCGATCACGCATTGTATTCATGAAGTAGGAGTTTGCGAATGTGTCTGTTCTTGAGTTGGTCTGTTGAAATTGCCTGTTATGCCCTCTAAGAAAAATGAAATGCACGTAGCAAAGGAACGGAAATTGAAACCAAGAAAGGTGTCTTACCTGGTGGTTGAGGTCGTGTCCTCTGATAGGATGATGAAACACCCTGCATGTCACCAAAGCCTCCCGCCGTTGCGTCCTGCGCATTCTTATCAACACCAAACTTTCCTCCAAATCCCTTACTCGAGTCCGTCTGTGATGCATGCTTTTCCGTCTTGCCTTCGTAGTCAAACCCAACAGCTGATGAATCCTGGCTATCCTTCTGAACGCCGTATTTCCCGCCAAATCCCTTGCTCGAGTCTGTCTGTGACGCGTGCTTCTCCGTCTTGCCTTCGTAGTCAAACCCGACAGCTGATGAATCCTGGCTGTCTTTCTGCACGCCGTATTTCCCGCCGAACCCGCTGGAATAATCTGTCAATTTTGCACACCATAGGATCATGATGGATATTTTTCTTAAATAATATCTTGAACTGAACCTTAACCACAAAAGTCTTACAGTTATATTTTTTTGGAACAAAAGGCACTTGCATTTTGTGTGAATCTGCCATGAATATGTAAATACTCTGGTGACTGGCCTGATGTCAACACAATTTTCACAGGCAATTGTGATGTTTTCCTTTTTCTCTTTTCCAATGGGAAATTGTACAGTTTCCCCATACTTTTGATTTACCGTTTAAATGTTTGGAACCTTAATCGCTCCTTCAAATTTCTATATAGGCAGCAGGAATAGGACTTTTGTACATGTACATTTATAGCCAAGCAGGATGTACTCATAAACATGATACCTTGATTATCTCAGTTATCTTTCAGTAATTTTTTTTACTCCTTTTTAAACAAAATCCTTGTTTGAGTTTTGTACCCATAGTTGCATTATCAATCAATTTATTCTTTTTACTCTTCCAAGCAATTTACTACAATAGTGTTTGGTCTGCAACCCTTTCGTCTAATACCCAAATAGTCTATTCCCATTATGGTCTACACCAAACCTGTCCATTAGTAGCCACATGGTCCAATAACCATTTAGTCTAATATCCACTTGGTCTAATCTCTAATTAGTCTACTACCCATTTGGTCTATTGTTCAGTTAGTCTAATTCCCAGATTCTCTTATGCCTGTTTCATCTATCATCCATAAGGTCTAATAATTATTGATGATGATCATTATTTAACTGGGAATTAGAGTAAATAAGCAATAGACTAATTGGGACGTAGACAAACAGGGAGGTGTTTCAAAAAAGCTGTTTGTAAAGTTACGCATGACTTTATGAACGACTTGAATATGAAGTGCCAGAAAGGATGCCCCAAATTTTTCCTGATATTTCAAATAACCTCAATTAAATCATGGCAAAAAATATACCTTGTATTAAATTTTTTTGTTATAATAAGAATGTTAATCTACATCTGCACAGTTCAACTTTAGTTGATGCAGTTAAAAAAAGATTGAGCATCCCATTTGGCTTTTCATATATAAGTCGTTCGTAAAGTCAAGCATAACTTTACTAACGGCTTTATGAAACACCCCCCCGGCTGTAGACCAAACTGCTATGAACCCACTACGACGTCCTATTTCCCACGGACCTTTCTGCGAGGCGTGTTTCTCTGTCTTTCCTTCATAGTCGAATCCAACAGCCGAAGCGTCTTGGCGGTCAGTCTGCACGCCGTGCTTGCCACCGAAACCGGTAGAATAATCTGTGATGGATGCATGCATGCAAAATTATCATGCAGGGGTACTTTAAAGTGACTCGGTAACATTGTTGAAGTTTGATGAAAAAAACGCATAATTTTTGTATGAAATGTTACTTAGTATATTCCTTCTACTGTACTTACCCTCTAACATGCAAAAAAACTTCTCAAACTTGTTTCGAACACGGGACCCCCCGGTTACAGGACAGCTGCTCAACCACTGAGCCATTGCGCCTCTCTATTTCTCAGGTTCAACAAAGGACATTAGTCTTAGGCCAAAGTTTTTGTTTCGTTTCGTTATCATGCAGGGGTTCTTTAAAGTGACTCGGTAACATTATTGAAGTTTGATATAAAAAAACGCATAATTTTTGTATGAAATGTTACTTGGTATATCACCCTCTAACATGCAAAAAAAACTTCTCAAACTTGTTTCGAGCACGGGACCCCCCAGTTACAGGACAGCTGCTCAACCACTGAGCCATTGCGCCTCTCTATTTCTCAGGTTCAACAAAGGACATTAGTCTTAGGCCAAAGTTTTTGTTTTGTTAAGCGTGATTTAGACCCAGTGTCAGTGTTAACCTGCTGACTTCTGAATGGTTCTAATTCCCATAGACTTTACACTTGGACCACCCGGTTCCTGTAGACAACAGGTTAACTGTATCAATAGAATAAAGACCTATGGATCTCTATTTCTCAGGCAGTGTGAACGTACCTTTCTGTGAGTTGTGTTGTGATAAACCTGCTTGGTAGTCCCATCCAACAGCACTCTGAGATGATAGAGAGAGAGAGAGAGAGTCAGAGATTGAGAGAGAGATAAAGAGAGAGAGAGAGAGAGAGAGATTGAGAGAGAGAGAGATTAATATAGAGAGAGATAAAGAGAGAGAGAGAAATATAGAGAGAGATAGATAGATAGAGAGAGATAGTAAGACAGAGAGAGAGATAGAAAGAGATAGATAGATAGAGAGAGATAGAGAGAGATAGAGAGAGAGAGAGAGAGATAGATAGAGATAGATAGTAAGACAGAGAGAGATAAATAGAGAGAAAAGAGTCAGAGATTGAGAGAGAGATAAAGAGAGAGAGAGAGAGAGAGAGAGAGAGAAGTTATTGAATAATACATCACTTGGCACATTGCCCTCACTGTCACCTGTACACGTCTCTTTATCATGTGACATGAATTTTAAAGCTTGCGGTTAGTATTGATATGGGGTAAATGGTTACAAAGCAAAACCATTTGGTAGCCTACTGTTAAAAAAGGTCCCAAGCACAAAGTAAGACATTCTCAAGTGTTAAAGGGTGCAAAAACTGGTTTCACGTACTGGTGTACTAAATTATGTGTAAAACAATTTGTTGTCAACAGGTTTGATTAAAGGCATTGAAGTTTAACAATATTAAATCGGAGATGCATGGCCCTACGTATCTGTGATACGATGTAATATTGAAGCCCTCAAAAAATTGCGCTTCAAAATGATCATGAAGTGCCTCAAAAATGTAAAATCTTTGAGTGACCGGTTTTACCATCCTCAATTTCCCCAATAGACTGTAGTGTTATAAAAACCGTTAGGGAAAACAGTTTTTGAAATTTAGATTTCCAATCTTACATATCTTGATAATCAGACAGGAGATCGGCTTGTAAAAGTCATGGGGTTCCTGACTAATCTAAAGGTTTATAATTATCATTGCTGCATGAGCTAAATCCAGGGTTTTGTTTCAGAGTCCGAGACAAAGATACCCAATCCCTTTAACGGTAATAAATAATTGCAGATAAAAAGCTTATTAATTACCTTATCCATGCTCTGCTTCTGCACTCCAAACTTCCCTCCAAAACCTGAGGAATAATCTGGAAGGATAAAACAAGAAAATAAAATAAAAAAAGTACCGTACTTGTATGTGACTGACTTTCATGAAACCAATTTTATTTTTACATTTAGAACTCCTGGCCCCTGTTTCATAAAACTTGTTATCACCAGCAAGCTACAATGACTGTTATAAGCTACTGAAATCTTGGCATTTGAATGGCTGAGATCAAATTTGTCATAGAAATTTAGCATTTGTTATGGATAACAAGTTTTATGAAACAGGTCCCATATCCACACTCCCCTGGATGACCACCTATCAGCAGTTGTTGGTAGATTGCGATTCACAATCGCACCATCTACTTTGATACAAAAAGTAGTGTACAGAAGCTTTGATTAAACTTATGATGTTATGATGCAAACAAAATATCAGATCTATTTACAAACAAATTGAATTCTTAAATCCTGAAATACAGGGTAAAGAGTAATAATGTTTTGCACAAGGACGAGGCTTAAAAGAAGAAGCTCCTATTATTTGTAAAGGGTCATGGAGGAGTACATCACTTTCACCCCCTCCCTTCTATATCTCTCTCTCTCTCTAAATGAATAAATAAATAAAAATTGTATATTACTGTGCATTTATCACTGTATTTTATCTAACCAATTTTAAATGTATTGTATTTTAATTTAATTTTTAAATCTTGTGTAAAATCAATTTGTTTCAGGCCTGCTGCTATTCAATCAATAAACCAGTTTAAAAATAAAGAAATGAATAAATAAATATACGTATCACCATTGTATGCCCCCTTTACAAGTTGCATGTACATTTAGTTTCAAAGTGCTATAAAAAGGCATGAGATTTGAATAGGATGGGGTTGATATCATACAATAGAAGTACCAGGTACATTCTTTCATTTTATACACATTACTTCCTCCTAAAGTGTAGCACTGATAAAACGATATTGAAGCGATGTGCAGATACTAGTTCAGTTGCATGTGATAGAACCTAATGAATAGCCGTTTGATCGAGGCGTCAGACTCAAACAGGAACATTTATACTGCCAAGAACAGAACAATTATTTTGGCACGATCAAGTTATTTGGTCACATGATGTCCTTCTCTGCACATAAATTGAAATCAAACTTAGGTCATTTCAATTCATATTTGGTCTCGTCTGATTAAGGCTTGTTCATACATGGCGCGGCAAACCGCCAAAAAAATGCTGCTACAGATGTTCATGCACTTTTCCCTCTAGCTCTGTGTTATATGATACAGAAATGTGAAGGTTACCGGTATTACGTCAGCATAAAAATGTTAAGAAACCGTCATATCTGAACAAGCCTTCAACTGGATGCAATGATCATAAACATGTATGAAGATCTGAGGAGTGGTTGGTAAAATATGGGAAACAATGGGTGGTATTCCGGTAGCGTGTACTAGTAAGTTAGCACGTACATGTACATTTACTTATTTAGTCCACACTATTATGGAGTAACTGTTGCAAACTCATTTACCCTGTACATATTATTTCAATCCTTCAATGAAAAGTGTCCAACAAATTAATTTTGCAATGAAATGGTAAGAAAAGATGATATGAGTATGAACTGAATTTTAACAAAATCCTTGATAGATTATTTTTGTCATGAATATTGAAGGAGGAAGATAAAACCTAGCATTTCATAGAAGTGTGAACTAAAATTCTTGTTTAGTCTAGACTTAGTCCGGGTTAACTTATGAGAATACCTCCCAATGACTTCAACTCGCCCCCCTCCATCAAAGCAGTGCAACTCATACTCATATGTACATCTGAAGCAGTGAGAATAGTCCTATGTTAACTACCATAACTTCCTCATTACACTTTGCTGTGAACATACACTCTACAGGGTATGTAAGCATGTCAATTTCCAGGAATCGTTCACATTTGTCCTTCTCAATCCAGATATATTTAATTGGTATGTGACAATGATTGAAGGGCTTATAGCAGGAATGGTATTGACTCTTTCGCAAAAATCATTCCATTCTGTGATTCGCCGGCTCATTAACCTTTGATCCAGAGCCCTATAAAATATGCCAGGGCCCTGTTTCATAAAAATTGATATCAATAACGCGTTACAAGCTACTGTTATAAGCTACTGAAATTATGGCATCTGATTGGCGGAGAGCAAAGGTGTCATAGAAATTTAGCATTTGTTATGGATAACAAGTTTTATGAAACGGGCCCCTGATGTGTGAGAAGAGCAAAAAATTCCTGCACATGTATGATACTGCATCCCTTCTTGTTTCAAGACTATATTGCGTTTGATGCTAGGAATATTTAAAAGGAACATTATCTCTAAAATCCTTAAATTGGCAATTGTTGAGAGATTCAATATCATTGTTTTTCAATCAAAATTTGCGATTTTATTCAACTTGTTGACAACATTTGCACCTACATGTATGTATAATGTTTATAATGTTTATAATGTTTATAGAGATGATGCATTTTACCTTTACAATGTAGCAATAAAATAAAATAAATTGTTGCCAATTTGAAGAACAAATTGTGATCAATAAAGCAACTACATATAAATCCTGCTCTGAAAGGGTTAATACTGAGCATCTCACACCATACAATCTGGCCAAGATCCAATTTTGGAATAATTTGCATTAGCTTTTGATGTGAACATTAAAACTTATTAAATCTTAACGATCAAAGATCTGAATAGTCATACGATTTATAGCATCGATATTTCAACAAATTTCCAGCTTCCTTTCTTTTGCAACAATCATTCCACGTTTTGTGGCTCGGCTCATTAACTTTTTGAGGCAGATATTTGATGCAAATATGCCAGATGCATGTTCAGGAAAGAGCACAAATTTCTGTACATACTGCATCAAATTTAGCCCTCCGCTTTTGATGTGAACATTCAAACCTTGAAGAGAAGGTTGAGTTCTGGGAAGAGGTGAAAAATAATTTGTGAGCGTTACTCATTCTTATTATGCAAGTGTGGAAGAACATCAGATAAGACATGTTCCCTGAAAAGCATGGCTCTTCAAATGCCTTCATATTCTAAATGCATGTAACATCGTAAAAATCGGGGGTCCGGTTTTTTATGCCACATGTTCGTGTAGTCCCATATACATCTTTCTGTGTACAGTGTTTGTAACTTTATCAAGACTTGGCCAAATTTCTTATCATTTTGATGATTCCAGAACCTTGCAATACACACAAATTCTTATATGCTAGATGATCAATCTTTTCTGGTCGGTTCCACATCGTTTCCTTCACAATGCAATCGCATGACCAGAACTCAACTTCATCTTTAATGATCAAAGATCTGAATAGTCGTATGATTTATAGCATCGATATTTCAACAAATTTCCAGCCTCCTTGGCTAAGAAAAAGCTAAATCGGCTCAGAGTCGTAGTGCAACTGTTTATGATTTGAAGCTGATTCTGCTTTTATTCTGCCTAGAAGGCTTTGATGCACTAAAATTCAAGCTGTAAGAAGTCTTATCATTATTTAGAACCTAAATCAGGAAGATTATGTGTTTAGATTTCCATATAACTGCTGTTTTGTTGAAAATTTGATATCAGGAATATTGTATAGTGTGCGGTGGGCTTTAGAGCAAGTTATATATTCGGTATCCGCATTAAACATCATTTATTAAAGTCAGCATTTTTCCTCTTACAAGGGCTTTCACACCATGATGCCACTCACTCCTTCAACTTCTTGTCTTGAGCATCCTCCTCATTCAGCCAAATCTTACTGCTTACTTTCTTCACCATATCTTTCCATGAAATCTCCGTTCTTCCTCTCCCTCATCCACCTACAGATCCGATAGGTTCATCATCTTCTCAACACATTGTTTTAGAATACAGGTTTTACAATCTCAAAAGCCATCACTTTACATCGACTCTACTTACCTTTTTGTGAAGCATGTTTATCCGTCTTCCCCTCGTAATCAAATCCGACAGCAGAAGCGTCTTGGCGGTCAGACTGCACGCCGTGCTTGCCTCCGAACCCCTTGGCGTAGTCTGCCTGAGATGCGTGCTTGTTAAGTGATTCCTGATGGTCATGCCCCACGGCAGACTGTAAGAAACAATTCATAGATGGAGCATAAGAAATGTAATAATAACAAGGGCGATAGTGACCAAATGGCATCAAACAGAATCCCCCCCCCTTTTGAGTAAAAAAAAAATTCGTTAAAAAAACAGGATAAAATTTTTTTTAAATCGGGAAACCGATTTAATTCGGGTAATTATCAGGCCTGTAATATGAAGAAGTAGAGGGAGTGTCATCACGCCCGGTCATCATGTCAAGCAAATCGGTAAACCCTTGTATGAGGGAAAATGCTGACTTTAATATATAATGATGATGATGAATAGCTGCATTTATACTGGACACATATCCATCCCTGAGGATGCTCAGAATGCCTACAAAAAAAGTAAGTACCCTTATTAACCTGACTTTAGCCCAGTTGCCCTAAGGCGCTCACCGATTAGGCATTGTTTGCTATATAGAGGGCGCAAATAGTTATAAGTAGTGCAGTGGGGCTTTAAACCACATAAATACGTCATCTCCACTAGTCCCATACCTTGTCCATCCTGTCCTGTTGAACACCAAACTTTCCTCCGTAGCCATACGAGGCCTTGGGAGCAGCAGCAAGTTCTTTCTCCTTCTGGTCGGCGTCGCCTTGCTTCACATTCTCTCTCAACTCATGGATACTGTGGGAAATACAAAGAAAAAGTATTCCCTTTAGATTTATTTCATTTATAGAAAAGAAGGAGGAGAAGAAGAAGGAGACAGAGGAGGAGGAGGAGGAGAAAGAGATGAAGAAGACAAAGAAGGAGAAAAAGGAGAAGGAAGAGGAGGAGGAAGAGGAGGAGGAGGAGGAGAAGAAGAAGAAGAAGAAGAAGAAGAAGAAGAAGAAGAAGAAGAAGAAGAAGAAGAAGAAGAAGAAGAAGAAGAAGAAGAAGAAGAAGAAGAAGAAGAAGAAGATGAAGAAGAAGAAGAAGATGAAGAAGAAGAAGAAGAAGAAGAGGAGTAGAAGAAGAAGATGAGGAGGAGAAGAAGAAGATGAGGAGAAGAAGAAGAAGAAGAAGGAGAAGAAGAGGAGGAGGAGGAGGAGGAGGAGGAGGAGGAAGAGGAAGAGGAAGAGGAAGAGGAAGAGGAAGAGATAGAGGAAGAGGAAGAGGAAGAGGAAGAGGAAGAGGAAGAGATAGAGGAAGAGGAAGAGATAGAGGAAGAGGAAGAGGAAGAGATAGAGGAAGAGGAAGAGGAAGAGGAAGAAGAGGATGAGGAAGAAGAAGAAGGAGAATAAGAAGAAGAAGAGGAGAAAGAAGAAGAAACTGGCTAACTTACTTGAATTGCTCTTGCCTTCCTGATCCTTCTACTGACTTGGACCCCCATCTCTGCTCCTGCTCACTCACATCATTCTAGTCAATCAGTGCAAAATAATAAACATAATAGTGAGTAACCAGAAAATGATGAAACGTATCGGTAATCAATCATATGAATACCAGTAATAATAATAATAATAATCATAATAATAATCATAATAATAATCATAATAATGATGATGATGATGTTGATGACGACAATGATAATAATATTAATAATAGTAATAATTACAATAGTTATAATAATAGTGATGATGAAGATGATGATATGCCCGAAAGTATTCTTGTATCAAAGTTTGTTTGCCTAGAGTGGAATAAACTAAACTGATCTGAATACCTGAGTTGAAATGTTAATGGGATCATCATAAGCCTTCAGACAAAATTCTACAAATTCTACAACATACATAATTTGTTCCATATATCTAACAGGAGAACACATGAATAAAATGCTTATCAATTTATTAACCCTTTAAAAATTCTGGCCTTAATGTTAAAATACCGCACCTAAAGTAAACAGATGTTCAAATCAGAGAGTAAGGATTAGGGTTATGTTTAGGGTTAGGATTAGAGATAAGCTAAGAAACTTAAATCTTAGGATTTAGCTTTATTTGTGAAGTATTGGTCAACAATAGACAACTGGAGGCTATTTCTAAAAACCGTCACAAGTCTAAGTTTTTGGACATCTCTTAGACACTCTTATCAAAGAATTAATATACACTGTACACTCAAAGGAGTGTCCACGAAGTAAGAATAATGACGATTCTGAGAAACTGGCCCCCTGCAACTTTTGAGGTGGTGTGTTATCCCGTTGGGCAAGAGTTCCATATGTACCCCCTACTAAAATTGAAAAAAACAATGTTTCAGAGGGATTTACCTAATAATATATAAAACATGGGAAACTAGGGTCATGGTTAGGGTTAGGATTAGACATTGAGAGATAGAAAGAAAGTGTAATAATAAGACAATATTACAAGAAATTTTGTTGTCGTTTTTATTTAGTGGGGGGTACATACAAAACTCTTTCCTAACGTTGTTCCTTTTCCTGTCCTAAACTGGAGGTCAACTCACAACAAAATCTGGATCCGTTTCCCAGTCATCGTCCTCATCCTGTGTAACTGGTGGTTTGTTGCTGCTTCCCACTTGAGACCTCCACATCTTGGGTCAGTTCAGAAAACCTTCCAAAAAGAAAAACTATAATTAAAAAGATAAAAAATTAACCAAAGCAAAAGCCCCAAAAAGGCAAAGCAAAGGCCAAGCCTCAGAGATAGTCACATTACCATTGCAAGCATTGTTGGGTAACAGTGATTTGACATGAGAATAATATGGTAATTCTACTATCTACGTAGTCTACCCAACTCAAGTCAAACTTCGAAAACATCCTAAGAAATACTCTAAAATGACATAAAAAAAGTAAAAAGGGTACTGAAATGATATTAAACTAGTCCAAGGTCACATTGAAGCTCATTTGGTTGAATTTTAGGTTATTTTTCAGCACAATGCAATCCTTTTTTAAAACCCTGTGTAAGTAAGGCGGCCGTCTTTGAGAACTTGACCGCCGTTCTTACACACGGTTAGAAAAAGATAGTATTGTCCTGAAAAAACGCCTAAAATTCAACCAAATGAGCTTCAATGTTGATCTTGGACTAGTAGTTGTTCTGCATCAAGAAGGTACTAATACTAGTAGTACCATGAATACTAATTCAATTTGATCATTTTACTTTTAAATTTAGTATTTTTTGTAGACTTTAGAGTTTAGTCATTTTATTTTTACTCTTTTAATAATTTTCGAGCATTTTTAAATCATTCTTAGCCTTAGGAATAGGTCTAGGATGATCATGTTCACGAGGTTTGACAGAGGTTTGGGCAGAATCTGTAGAATTACCTAATATTTAATTTAGTATGATGTTATCATCATGTTTTCAATTTCGTCTCAGTCATCAACTCCAAGTCTGGCACGCAACATCACTCAACATCACAGCATCATTTTTTTCATTTTTTTCTGTAAACATCTCAATTCTACAGTCCCACACATAGACATCGGCATAATGAGGAAGTGTGCACCTGCAAATACATTTTTATTTTACTCGTTCAAAATACGCAAAATAGAAGCTAATTTCATCCCAGAATAACGAAAAACAGAACACACAATTACATCAATTGTTGATCAATCAATAAAATATCAAACTAATGATGATTTACCTTGATTTACCTTGTAAATGGTGTAGATTTCAACGCCCACTAGTTGTGTCGGTAGTCAACGTTCACAGTACTTCCGCAATTGGATTGTACTATGATCACGGATATACAATGTCCGTTTGCGGTGAGTGTTTGGTAGCGATCAAGGAATCAAGAAACGGATATTTACCAGTCTTAAACGGGGAAAAAAGGAGGGGGGGGGGGGTGGGGTGACTCATTGGCTAGGTAAAATGAATTTGACAAGATAAATAGTGACATGTCTAGAGGTGCGTTTGAGGGGGGGGGGGGGGGGGGGGAGGGGGTAAATATAAGCACGGATAACAAGTTCAAGCGCCTTTTGAAAGGGGCAAAAAATGGAAAGGAAGCAATACAAAAGAAATGAGAAAAACAGCTGCATAATTATGGGTCCGCGATCGACCACGTCCCCATTTTTTCAATATTAGATATCCTTGTTTGCTTCTCCTAGAAGTATTTAGTTTTTTTCAATAAGAAAGAAAATTTGAAATAAACAGGAGTGTTAAATTTCGGCTTAAAGTGAGGTTAACACTATGGATCGGACAAAGAAAGCGGACAAAATATACAGTTCCTCATGTAGACAAAGGAACATCCCTTCACTGTTATGTAAAATGTGTGGAACAGGTGAATATGCATGTGACACCTGTTCTACACATTTTTACATAATAGCAGTGAAGGGATGTTCCTTTGTCTACCTGAGGAACTGTATATTTTGTCCGCTTTCTTTGTTTGTCGGTTCATAGTGTAAAGTTTTACTTTGCACTCTTCACCATAACCGTAGAAAACAATAACTGTCGATCAGTATACATTTCTTCACTTCCCGCAGATAAAAAAAAGGGCCTATGCGAAACATGATTGATGGACCAATAAATTGGTTAGGTCTACTTTGCTGGCTGAACGAGGTTAATTTGATAATTAAATAGCCCATCATTAATTTTGGTCTTGGGCAAATTATAAGTTTAGCCTATTTCTTTTTGTTCCTGTTTAGTGATCCCCAAGGCCAAGAATAACATTTTAAAATGTCACCTGAATTGTTTGCTCGATTATCAACCTTTCTGTTGTCGGAATGTCGGGACACATACTCATTAATTCCCCCCCCCCCCCCTTGCAGATTTAAGGATGTTGGAACGAAATTACATTACATATAACAACATTTATACATTGTAGCTCGAACTTTCAAGAATTAAAATTCAAGTACTTTCAATAGCCTATAGCTTGTCAGTCAATCACTTCAAAAACCACGGTGGGGACATTACAAGCACAATCATAATTATATAGCCTATGATATGGGACCTACTCCGAAAAGTTATCTAGCAGTCATAATACACGCAGGTATTGAATTTCGCTTGAGTTGACTTGAACAATTTAATTGCGATCGAAGAGAGAAGATTAACAAAGAATCATAAGAATCTTAAGTGGTTTCCGACTTCATGTAAATGTAGAATCCAAGTTTGAGTTGTAAGCAAAGGAAGTTATTCAACAGTAGCAACTTGCAGTCCTTGCCACCTTCCGGGTACAAAGCTCCTTGTCAAAAACTTCCGATGCGGCTGCTGTAAAATCTGGATTTCAGAATCATTTCCACATCAGTGGGGGGGGGGGGGGGGGGGGGGGGGGGGGTCGGGGGTTTGTATAGTGATGGGGAAAAGGTAAATTTCTAGTCTCCAATTGTTTTTTATTTATTTTTTTGTCTGCGCCTGTGTTAAATTTTTTAAAATATTTTTATTACCCTTGTTTTTGCCTGGCATCCGGCGCTAATTTGGAAAATATTTCCACTGCAATGTAAGCTATGAAATTATGATTAAATACATGCACGTACGAGTGTTGCAATCGAAATATCTATACCCCCCCCATTAATTAATCGAACCGTAATCATTTCTGGTATATATACGATTTCGGGAACGCTCTTTGTAGTACCGAAGAGGCCCATAGCCAGAGTTTGATGTTGGAGGGGGGGGGGGGGGGCACATACATGTACTCGATCGAGATAAAAAAAAAAAAGTTCAACCGATCTTGGAAAGTTTTGAGGGGCACGCCCCCCCCCCCCCCCGTTGCTACGTGCATGGTACCGAATATACATTTTATGGCTTGCATGTTTTTTTTATTTTTCTATTTTCATAAATTTTCATAATCGCTCACAATCATGAATATTCAGCCACTGACTGCGACGAATAAATAAAACCTTCATTTATTCCTTGTTGCTTATTTCCTATTATTGCATTATTATGTAAAGGAATGTGTAATATATGAGAGGATCAGGGGAAATATCAAATAACATTATTTGAGAGTTTATCCGTTTTGCAATAAAGAAAGGAAAAAACTATCCAGAATAATTAAAAACGCAAGTCTCGCTCCTCGATCATTCATTTCCTTGCGTCTCCTACCACTCTCTCTCTCTCTCTCTCTCTCTCTCTCTCTCTATTATACTCGCTCTCTCTCTCTCTCTCTCTCTCTCTCTTTTTTTTGGGAGGTGGGGGATGTCTCCGTTTCCTCTTTCTTTTCCCTATTGAAGGGGAAGTACGTCCAACCTGATATTAAGTTGGTTTGATAAAAGCAGAAATATGAGAGAAACAAATTAGTGAATGCTTGAGCAATATCCGAAACACAAATTGGCAAAACCATGACGTTTTTGCGAGCTCCTCTCCAATTTGCTCTGTACAGGAAATTTCATTAACTTTCATTTTCTTATTATTGATGATGGGACAGATTTATTACATACAGGGGTTGTGAAGAAACATATTTACAATGATAACATTTCGGGTGAATATATGATTGGAAAATGTCTTAAGGGAAAATATGGATTTAAACAAAATTGGTATACAGAGCAAAGGGGAGGGGGCCTCGCGGAATACGTCACAGAGTTGCCAATTTGTGTTTGATTCATTTCTAATCGATTTTGATCATACTTTTACTGACCTAGCTGTTTCTCTCATTTTCTGCTTCTATTAAAACCAGCTAAATAATTAGGATGGTCTTCCGTTTTAAATTCTCCCCGCACCACGATTCACATCACCTTTTTGCGTCGTTTTATCTCCACTCCACAGGCTTTCTTTATCTCACTCTCCACCCCTTCCCAAATTTAACCCTCCTCTTTTTCTATTATTCTTCTTTCTTTGTTTTCATTTTCCTCTCCTTCTCCATCTCACTCTTCTCCGTCAAACAAAATTCGCAGGATCATATTTTAATGACGGGTATATACAAAATTACACAGAAATGAAATCCATCAGTAAAAAACGACCGTGTTTACTAAAAGCTATTTTATTAAACACTTTTAACTTCTATACAACAGCTTGTATTTTTAGAATCATCATATACCTGAAACGAGTGTATATGGTTATACATGATGGTTTACATGAATAAATCATTGAAAGCACATTTTAAAAAAAGAAAGACAATAGGTGGCGTTTTCCCTATTTCCAGCCGTTCCCTAAAAACAAATCATCATTATTTTCCAACATTGAACTTGACCTGTAATGATCAACAATGGCAAATTTACACGAAAAAAGGACTAGAAATATGAACTTCCAAAATATCAATACAAAATGTTCCAGTTAACACATATTTACAGCTGAAAGACGTTCTTGAAATCTTTTATACAACAGCAATATTGGCTCATGCCTATATCAATAGCCTTATGTACAAAATGAGTCACAGACACAGGCACAAAAGACAAACGGAAAGAAAGGCGCAGATAGAGAAAGGGAGAAAGGGATTCCCACTTTTCTCTATCTGCGCCTTTCTTTCCATTTTTAAGCGGCTGGCCGAGTCGTTGCGATATTTTCGGCCAGATTTAAAAAATGTTAACCCCCCCCCCCCCCCCTTGACAAAATCCTGCGTACGCCACTGTGGATCTGTCTATGTCCCGCCAAAGAAACAAAAACCGAAACCAACATAACATTAAGTTGTATGAAATGAATTATCATTCTAAAAAAAATTCATGAAAAGCAATGGTAATCCCCAACCCCCCCCCCCCCAAAAAAAAAAAATGTTACGTACATATATCCATAATTTACAGGGCATTTTGTCCCTCCACTCTTTTCGTTCAAAAAGTTGCATATTTCACTGTGTGATATTGAAAAAATTGATGTCCAGTGAACTTGTATGAAGAATTTATTATCATAGTACATAACAATGTATATATATCATAATATTTTTCCAACTGCGGCTGCCCAACTTGTCGACCCATGAAACCGATTCCATATTTGATAGGAAGACAGACAAGTGAAATACGTTTTTTTTTAATTTTTTTTTTATAGATCTCGAAGATCTACTACCCTTATCTAAACCATATTATATACAAAATGATACGTCTAGTCGATCTCATTTCAGCTTTAACGAACATGATTTCTTTCAAGGTAAATCAAAGATCGTTACCAATGTGTCTCTGAAGAGACACATCCTCCATGTCTCTTAAGAGACACATTCGAAAAATCCGAACAAATTTCTGAGAATACAAATACATGTATATATGAGAAAACTGGAATCAAAGGAAAAACTGCTTTTTGCTGCATTGAGTAGTACTTTGAAGGTCCATTTCGCAACACTCCTCCATGTTTCAAAGAAGTTTGTCCTGGTCTTAAGCCGTCTTCTGATTAGCGATTCGAAGAATTCAATCAAAGAATGTTCTTTACATTGCTTTTTAACACGACAATAGAAATATGACGACTAAAACCTATATTTTCCTCACAGTTCATAAGTGTAGTAACATGTCCTACAATAACAACAAGAAACAACAACAAAGTATTATGACAAGATATAACAAAGTGACAATTCCAAGCTAAGTTGGTTTTCAACTGAAAATGATATGTTTGGATGTAAGATTCCAACTATATTCAGTGATCAAAATCCATTTGAGGATCTTTGACGGAGTTTGAACGTCTCCTTCTCCTAATCTTCACCTGCGGTTCGGTAAACACCGTGCTATGACCCCCAAACTGTTTATAAACGGTCTTATTGTGCTCCATTGCCGGGTCTAAATGACAGGGATTTGTTGCTAGTTTGTGCAACTTCTCATTCCGACGAACCTGCCCCTCCGGAGGCGGTTGGGGGAGAGGGCGCTGTCGACGTCTTCGGCGCCGCTTCTTCTCTTGATGATGACCTTGATGCTGCGGCGAAGGCAAGTCAGATGTAGCTTCACCATCTCCGTTCTGCTTACTCGGTGTGTGACCAGATTTAGCCTTCTTAGGCAACTTCTTTGTCTTAGATCGGCATTCACTCGTACTAGCTTCAGCGTCATTTTCCTTTTTCTCCTTTTGCGCTTAGCCTTTCCTATTCGCCGCCCAGCAATCTTGACACCTTTTTTCTGCTTCGGAAGCCTAACATTGCTCATCATTCCTTTGGCAATGGAATCTAGCTGTTCTCCATCCATATCATCGCAGACAGACCAACGCCGTTTAGCTGTTTTATCTGGGGTAGGTGGAAGGATAGGCCCGTAGCGGACATTCGTTCTCGACTCTGTAGACGGCTCATCTGAGTAAGGAGGCGGTGAAGTAGAGGTTACGTTCGTGCTTGTATTGTGTGATGCCTGGTTTTGACGAGGGCGCAGATATTCTTTGCGATTGTCCTCGCGACCTGCATGCTTTCCGATTCTTTGATGTTGATTCAAAGTGGTATTTTTCTTCTGCAAAATAAGACAAAAACAAATAAATATACATTAAGTGACATTGTTCCCCATTCCCAGCCTTTCCCTAAACGAATCAAGTTGATTAAATTTCATTAAATTTATTAGAAAAAGAAGACAATCCGTTATAGCGTTTAGGCTTAGAGAGTTACCGTGTTTAAATACATAAATGAAATGAAATGAAATTATCAAACACAGAACTTGACTTGTGATGATCAATGGCAAATTTACATGAAAAAAGGACTAGAAATATGAATTTATGAATATAAATACAAAGATTCGAGTGAACACATATTTTACAGCTGAAATACATTCTTGAAACAAATAATACAATAAATGCAATATACCTCATTGTGACTAACCTGATCCTCAGGAGGTGGTTGTGATGAGGGCGCTGTCGACGTCTTCGGTGCCGCTTCTTTTCTTGATGACCTTGACGCTGCAGCGATGGTGGGCCGGAAGTAAGTTTCTCCATCTCCTTGCCGATTACTCGGTGTGTGATGTACAGATCTCAGGCTTTGTCCTACATTTTGTGACAGTGCTCTCCTCTGATTTAGATCTTTGCTTCGAACTGCTTTCTGATTAGGAAACATGTTCTTGGTTATGGTACTGACGAACTTGCGACCCTGCGTAGATATGATGTATTACTTCTCAGCTAAGTCCCCAGTCATGCCTTTAACTGTCTTCACTTGAATATCCAATTAAGCAGGACGATATAACCCACTTAAACGAGGGATGGGGATCTGAAGTGTCTGTCCATGTGGTAGAACCGTTTTATGTGCCGCTCATCTGAAAAAAATGAGACATGCGATGGTCAAATATAATTTTCTGTTTTGTTATATTTATAAATATTTCTGCATGGTTCTTAATGATACACAGTATGATCATGATGACGAGCAGATTCGAAAATGTGTAATTGTAGTAAAGTTGTAAGGCAATATCGATTATACTTCATTTACAACAATGCTGAATAAATAACACAGAGATAATAATAATAACAATAACAATAATAATGATGATGATAATAATAATAATAATCGTCACCCACACCCCTCCAAAAAAAAAAAGAGAGAGAGGGAGAAGAGAAAAAAAAGTAAATGGACGTCGGAAGAAAATGGAGCAGACAAAGAAACATTATTGAAAATTCAGACAAGGATAAAGAGTCGAGAACGGTACGACGAATCGTCTTCTGTCTCCAACAATATAATGAAACTTCAAAGCTTTCGCGCTTCGTGCGAAACTGAATTCAGACAAGGATTAAGAGTCTAGAATGGTACAACAAATCAATCGTCTTATTACTCTAATAATTTAATGAAACTTCAAAGCTTCCGCGCGAAAGGGGGAAACTGAATTCAGACCAAAAAAAAAGAGTCGAGAACGGTACAACGAATCGTCTTCTTTCTCTAGCTAATAATTTAATGAAACGTCAAATTAAACTTTCGCGCTTCGCAAAGGGAGGGAACCCCCCCCCCCCCCCCCCCCCAGGGAGCGCGCGAATGCGCACGCTCACTACTGCCCCCTAAAATGATATCCTACTTGATTAGTGCTTTCATGTGCTTAGAATAATATGATTCTAAAAACTCTCATAATATTACAAAGGTCCAAACTAATAAAGCGGTATTCAATAATTATAGCAGGGATATGTGAGTTTCACTCACATATCCCTGATTATAGCTCTCCTCCCTTTCTTGTCAGTGCATTCAAGGTACTCTGTAACGATGTCTCCCAAACAGGGGCAACAATGCATGCCATGTACATGAACTAGGAGCACTAACAATCACTCCTTTCTCTCTGTCAGCAAACTAAGAACTAGTCTTTAGTGTTCAGACCAAATACATCCCTTTTGCTCCAATAGTGATACATAATGGTTGTCAGTCAAGATACAGGAATAATAGAATATATATATATATATATATGCTAGATAAATAGAGAACTAAAGCTCTTCCCTCTATATTCAATATATCTCATTAGAAAGAGAATAAATACTTTATATATTATTAATCATTACTCTACAAATGTACGTACAGTACTCTGCTCTTTCATGAAAGTACTCGAGAGGTAACTGTTGGCCTAGTCTAATTATAAATACAAAGGTAGAAAGTAAGGTGTGAGAAATTAGTTTTTCTCTTACCTAAAACAAAGGAGCCAACGTACGTCTTCTCTCCCCAAAGTCAAGATGGAAAAGGAGTGACCACGTACGTGTGCCTCACAAATCACAACAATCTTATCATGAATGCTACAAGTGAGCGGGGAGAAGAGAGCTAGAGTATAGATTTGTGTGTAAGCAGGGGGAATCCCACGTATAAGAGAGAGCAAGATAGAAACAGGGAGTGAGGAGAGAAACTCGAAAGTGGGGCTATAAACAAACAGTGGGGTGTGCTCTTATGTAATACACTGATAGCGAGGGATCGGATTATATAGTTTTACAGGGGCATTTACACTGTCATCCAAACACGCCAAAAATGCCAAAACCGGAGCCTGACCGCGATGTTACCAAGGGCAACTATACGCATTACCGGCAGAAATGCCAATTCCAAAACATTCCAAATCGAAGTGTGATCTTTTGGCGTGTTTTGGCGTGTTTGGCAAGTAGAAACGCTCGCAGTTGTAACATCGCGATGTTAGGTGACGTAACTTTAGTAACGGAGCTAGATGTCGTCCTTAAAGAAAACGATAGAACGATATTGAAGGTACAACATTTATTGAAGAACCACTCGAAGATGAAGGCGAGAGAAAGTCTAATCGTTGACTTTACTCATATTTTACAGTCTGAAGTATCAAACTTCTGTTCTACTCTGAAAGTCTTCCCCCTCCTCTAATCTGGGAATCTGATTGGACAAAAGTAGGATTGCTCTGGTATATTACATGATAATGGGGTGTGGTGATGTACGTGACTGGGGTTTGGGCCTATGAGTCATAGTTCTTGCAGGCGCGTAGCCAGGGGGCGGTGGGGGCGGTCGCCCCCCCCCCCCAAAAAAAAAAAGAAGAAAGGAAGAGGACGCAGGAAGAAAAAGGATTAAGAGTCGAGAACGCTACAACAAATCGTCTTCTTTCTCTAATAATTTATGAAACGTCAAAGCTTCCGCGGGAGGGGAGGGGAGGGGAACTGAATTCAGACAAGGATTAAGAGTCGATCGAGAATGGTACAACGAACCTTCTTCTTTCTTTAATAATCTAATAAAACTTTAGCGCTTCCGCGCTACGCGCGGAGGCAGGCGAACTTGATTCAAACAAAGATTAAGAGTCGAGGACCGTGACGGAACAGCGAATCGTCTTCTTTCTCTTATGAAACGTCAACAGAAACTGAATTTAGATAAGGATTAAGAGTCGAGAATGGTCCAACGAATCGTCTTCGTTCTCCTCCCTGCACCCTCCCCCCTAGGGAGCGCGCTACGCGCGCTCTGTAAGTGATTCGCACGCTTTGCGTGCTCACTACCGCCCCCCCTAAAATGAAATCCTGGCTACGCGCTTGAGTTCTTGGAATGTGGTTCCTTGAAGTTATAACTCTCTGGGGGTGGTCAAGTGTTTGTAATGAAAAGTTGAGGGGGTCAGTAACTGGGAATAATGGGGTGCTGTCTAGGGATAATTGGGGTTCTGTTTTAAATCATGGAAGTGGGGGAAAGGTGAATGACTGAAGGGAGCGAGGAGTGAAACATGTATTACATAACATTATAACGATAATGATAGTCATAATAAAAATATCAATAATTATAATTAATAATAATAATAATAATAATAATAATAATAGAAATGATAATAGAACGGTCAATGTGTTATACTCGATTACAAACCAATCATTCCATGGCAATGTAAACATTCTTCAGCGTAGACTATCACCTTTAATATATGAAATGTCCGAATATGACATTTACATAATAATCCGAGTTCACATGATTTCTACTTTGACAATTCAATGGGGATCAAAATATAGGCCTTCAGCCGAGTTCTTAACTCGCGTTTGCTGCTTATTTTCTTAAAGCAATACAAAACAAAATATCATAACATAAACTGGTGACCCCTTTCGTGTTATGAATAGCGGTCCTTCAACTGCACGCACAAAATGTAGGTCCTTATTGATCCTTATGAATAGCGGTCCTTATTACTGAAAATAACCTGGAAACGAATGAAACTCAAAAAAGAGATATTGCACATGGCGTGCAAGGCGCAAACAAATTGCACTGACCAAATGTAGGATTAGTTAAGGAAAGAAAAGTCAAATACTTTGGTCATGTTAATAAAAGGCACCAAAGCCTCTTACAGGATGTGTTGGCGGGAAGTGGAAGGAACTAGACCGAGAGGGAAACCAGAATCAACTGGGAAGCGAATGTCAAGAACTGGAGAGGACTAAAACTGCAGGAGTGGACCAGCATGACAGAAGGTGGACCCTGGACACCACACCAATTAGTGACTTACCAGTGCTACAAATAAGGTATCAAAATATGCTCATCTGACCGTAATTAAATGCCTAAAACCCCTGAGCCTCTGGGGGCTCCGCCTCCTGGACCCCACGCCGATTCGTGACCTGCAAGTGTCACAAATAAGGTATAAAAATATGCTCATCTGACAATAATTTATTGCCCAAAACCCCTGAGCTTTCGGGGGCTCCGCCCCTGGCCCCCACGCCAATTCGTGACCTGCCAGTGTCACAAATAAGGTATAAAATTATGTTCATCTGATGATAATTTGATGTATATAACCCCTGAGCTTCTGAGGGCTCCGCCCCCTGGATCAAACACCAATTTGTGTCCTGCCAGTGTCACAACTAAGGTATCAAAATATGCTCATCTGACTGTAATTTATTGCCCCGAACCCCTGAGCTTCAGCCCCCTGGACCCCACGCCAATTCGTGACCTGCCAGTGTCACAAATAAGGTATCAAAATATGCTCATCTGACGATAATTTAATGTATAAAACCCCTGATCTTCTGGGGGCTCTGCCCCCCTGGACCCAACGCCAATTTGTGTCCTATCAGGGTATCAGAATATGCTCATCTGACCGTAATTTATTGCCCAAAACCCTGAGCTTCCGGGGCTTCGCCTCCTGGACCCCACGTCAATTTGTGACCTGCCAGTGTCACAAATAAGGTATCAAAATATGCTCATCTGACGGTAATTTAATGTATTAAAACCCCCGAGCCTCTGGGGGCTTCACCTCTTGGCCGAGAAACGTTAAGCGCGAGCGCGGCCTCCATGTAAGAGTGGGGGTGATGGGGATATTTGTTGTCTACCCCCACCCCCCCCCCCCCCCCAAACGTTTTTGCCACTGCCGGTGTCATCATTACGTAGAGGTCTACCAATATTTGGCTCGCATAATTTCAAATTTGGCCCCCCCCCCCTAAGAAATCCTGGATCCGCGCAGTGGTCAAAGATAAGATAGGCCTAGATATAGAGGTCTAGAGGCGGTCCTTCAAGAGATATATTATAACACAGGGATACAAATGTTCAGAATACTTTAGACCTCTACATTGTTCTAGCTAGACTAGATCTAGGCTGCTGTGCAATGTTAAAGAACGTGCATTTTTGGATTCTGACAAAGTGCCGGGGTCACTTGTTTTGAAATTTACCTCTAACGTTATATTTAGTGGGATGTATTGTTGATAGTAGATGCATATATAGCCTCTAAAATTTAGACCTAAGATGATAGATCTAGATCTACTTTAGTACTTACGTGTAAGACTTAGTCTAGGTCATCTGCTCCGGTCTGTTTCTCCGATTGTGAAAAGGCCAGGATCAAGACTTTGGTCCTTGACTAGACTTTGCACGCACTAGAAGTATAACAAAACTAGTCTAGTTTATTCCACTTGTTAAACTCCAATTAGACACGGTGAAACGGATAATTCCAGAAGAAGAAGAAAAGGATATACAATTGTGAATTGTGGAATTGAATTTGGTTTTACTTTTCAATGAATAATTGTTAAGCAACCAACAAGGAGCTAGAGCAACGCGCGACACGTTCTGCACTTGCACTGCACTTTAATTTATGAGTTCATTCTTGCTTTTCAAATTAGGGTGCATGCTAGCTGCGCGCGCGACATACGACATACAGTACATGTATTGTAGTGGGATACAATTTGCTTTGTGTTCAACTCGAACTTGAGACCTCTATAAAATTCACCTTTGTTGTCGAATATGTTATTTTTCAAGGCAATTATTCCAATCAGTGGCGTAATGTGAGCTCGGTCATTAGGGGGGGGGGGGGGCACCAGTTTTTAGGCTATATACTAGATCAATGTTTTCAACAAAAAAACAAAAAAATAGTCACGGCACCCTTAATTTAAGAATAAAAAACCTTCGCTTCGCGGCTCCAATTTTCAATTAATCATTTGCCATGTATACACACGTTTGTATGGACATGCATGCATTGACTGAAACGTTTTTCTTTATCCATTCATGTTCTACTTTATAATAAGGAGAGCAGTCGACTTGCTGAAGAACAGGCTGAATTGAGTTTTGCCGGGGTGGAAATATAATAGAATGGATATTACAATGCACGAAGTAAAGCGGGCCACGAACTCTACGATACGTAGTGCGAATAATAATGTAGGCCACTGGAGGCCATCGACTATTCTTTCCCAATAGGGAAATTCAACACTTTTTTTATAAGTGTTTTGATAATTATCAAATCAATGGCCATTTACACATGAACACTTGTGTTGCATTGTATATTGGAAGTGTGTAACGTCCTTGTATTCGGGTGGGGGATTTCCCAGTGATCTAGCCTGCGCGGGCCGAGCATATTTTTTTTTTTTACAAAAGTGTTTAGCCAGCTCAGTCAAAATACTGTGCGAATGACAGCTGGAGACAGAGTCTAACATTACTCTTCGCGGTATTTTTTGGATTGCTGAAGCTGTACATTATTGAAGAAGAGGCGTGTAGTTAGCAGCGGCTGCGATTAGACAGGGGCGGAAATTCGATAAACTGCAAACAAAAATAATTATGTATAGCAAATACTGACTAAAGACTGAAACACACTTATAAGTTCTACTTAGGATCTTTGTGAAACACCCCCCTGGAGGCTCAAGAGAAAACAGCCTAGACTAATAAAAATGCAACAAATCTGAGCATCACTCGCATAATATGTTCAAAACATACAAGTAAATATTGTGGGAAATCTGTATTCAATTGGTATCATGAAAGCACAGCTTAAACTGTATGTTTACATGATTAAGAGTTATAGAAAGAGATCAGTGCTTCAAAAATGAATATTCCACTTGCTCTTTTCACTCCGAAACTGAAATGTTAAATCACCATTTAAAAGGGCCGAGGAGTGACCACTCTTTCAAAATGGTAGATTAACACTTTGAACATGCTGGATCCAACACTATAAAGGTTGAATCTAGCAGGTTAAAAGAAACAACTTGACATTTTGAAAGAGTGGTCACTCCTCGGCCCTTTTAAATTGACATTTAACATTTCAGTTTTTAGAGTGATACAACAAAGTGTTTCAACTCCCATGCACTGCGATATCAGAGGCCTACGGTGGAAAATAGAAATCCCATCCATGCCCAAGCTCCCTGCTGATACTAAAATTTACCTACTAAACTGATATTAAAGGGAACCAAAACCTTCATATTAGGTTACTTTTATTGTAAAGTTTAAGATATTTAAAAAATATTAGTGAAAATTTGAACAAAATCGGGCAAGGAATAAGGAAGCTTTTTGAAATGACTAGTCACTTTTGTACATAAAATTTCACAATTTTTTTCGTTTTCTTCGTATTTATTTGTGTTCTTGATCCGACTTCATAACATGTGAAGTAGAATATCATTTAGCATTCTATATCTTGCTTTCAGGGGAGTAGATTATCTCAATCACGAGAAGGAAGGAAAAACATGAAATTTGATGTACAAAAGGCATGGAGAGTTGTTCACAGATGATGTCATCAAATTGAATACCGCCCTCTAGTGACTAGTCATTTTAAAAAAGCTCTAACTTCCTTATTCCTTGCCCGATTTTGTTCAAATTTTCACTGATATTTTCAAATATCCTAAACTTTACAATAAAAGTAACTTAGTATGAAGGTTTTGGTTCCCTTTAACAACCCTTCGGACTGCACACTAATTACCAGCAAAGTAAAAATGAAGTCTAAAAAAAAAGGTATATTGTTTGGTTTTATACTATAGTTTTCTAGGGAAAGTAATTTTGTAATAAAACAAAACTTCAAAAACCTGTGGAGGGGTAGTCAGTGCCGTCACCTTCGCCCCTCTCGTTCACTATGCTCCCTCGTCCCTCGCACAAGCGTACTGATGGGGGCTTGGGGGCAATTGCCCCCATAAAATTCGAACGTTTTTCTCACTCTTTTGAAATTATAATTTTGTATGCGTTTGTGGAAATTTCCCAAATTTACAGTCAGGCAAAAAATATGTTTGATTTGGAAGCCTACATGTCAAGGCCTGTGGATAGGGGGTCGAGCTCCCACTCCCTCGGCCCCTCATTTTTTTGAAAAAGTATGTTGAAGAGAACCTGCCAGTGTCACCAAATATGAGATATCAAAATATTCTCATCTGACCGTTAAATTAAATACCTAAAATCCCTGACCTTGCGCGGTTTCCGCCCCTTGGGTCCTACAAGGGGCCCTAAGGCGAGCCCCCGGATGCTAACCTGGCCGTAATTAAATGCCTAAAACCCCTGAGCTTTAGGAGGCTCCGTCCCCTTGACCCCACGCATATTAGTGACCTGCCATTGTCACAAATAAGGTATCAAAATATGCTCATGCATCTGACCGTAATTAAATGCCTAAACCCCCGAGCTTTGCCCCCGGACCCCTGGTTGATATTGTTAAGTGGTTCGATAGCATCACTCAGTTTGATTTGATTGGAGAAATATCTCATTAATGAATCAGTGTTAAAGCTATATGTTCTCAAACAAACCTACACCATTAAACTTAATTCCACCGCCAGGGACTTGGCAACATCGTTCAGATGAGAGAAAATGATGACTTCAATGCTACAAAATGTAAATGTATAATTAAAGATAATCTGAAAGTTTGAGTAAAAACAGACCATTATTAATGGTACAAATAATTGGGAAAAATGATCTGACTGATTTCTTAATTCTCCCAACTCTATTATTACAATTTAAATACATTTTAGGTTTAAACAAATTGTTACACAGCATGCATTTTAAAAAGCCTGTTGTATGTCTTATTTTCATGGCGAAATGGTTGGGAGACTATAAAATGGTGTCGCACAGTGGATTTTTTCAGTTTTTTTGTTTGCATGTCAGAGAGTTAGTATAGTAGAAGGAATATAATAAGTAACATTTCATACAAAAATTACGCAGTTCAGTTCATCAACCTTCATAAATGTTACCGAGTCACTTTAAGCCAGATTGATAATGTTAAGTTGTTCGATAACACCATTCAGTTTGATTTGATTGGAGATATATATCATCTATGAAACAGTGTTAAGGCTATATAGTCTCAAACAAACCTACACCATTAAACTTCAAGCTCACTCACAAATGATATATTGTGACATTTTCAAGGCTGCTTATTATTTAAAGTTCATGTATATACAAACCACAACAGTTTCAATATAAAATGTAATTTCTTCCCACTTAAATCATTGGTCTGGAAACAATTCTTTGCCCATTGTTGTATATTGTATTACATTTTCACTGACAATGAATTCACATTGTAATGCAATTTTCAAGTTTAGGAGAATAGAAAAATGTTATTGTTAAGTTGTTCGATAACATAACTCAGTTTGATTTGATTGGAGATATATCTCACAAATGAAACAGTGTAAAGGCTATATAGTCTCAAAAATACATACACCATTAAACTTCAAGCTCACTCACACATGATTGCGACACTTTCAAGGCTACTTATTATTTCAAGTTCATCTATATACAAACGGCAACTTCTTGCTCGGTCGCTACGTGCGCTCCTAGATCCTTCGCATAATATCCTTCAAAATTTACAAGTAAATATTGTAGAAAATATGTATTCTGTTGGCATCGTAAGCACAGTATGTTTACAAGATTAAGAGTTATAGAAATAGATCAGTGCTCCAAAAATGAATGTTCAGTTTGCTCTGTTAAGAACTCCCTTCCTGCCTACTTACTAAAATTTACCTAATAAATATTTACAACCCTTCGGACTTCACACTATAGATACCGGCAAAGTAAAAGTGAAGTGTGAAAAAAGTTTATTGCTTGTTTTTATACTGTAGTTTTGCTAAAGAATGCAATTTTGTTATACAACAAAACTTCAAAAACCTGTGAGGGGGTAGCATAGAGCTATATAATAAGACTTATATTATAGCTCTATATGGGGGGGGGGGGGATAGTCACTTCCGTCACCTCCGCCCCTTCCACTTGCTTACTGATGGGGGGGGGCAGTAACCACCCCCAATACATTTTGTAAATGGTTTATTTCTAATTTGATACCAGTGATTTATAAATGTTGCTAAAATGGCATTATTTTCCCATGAGCTTCCGGGGGCTGTACCCCCACGAAGGGCCCTAAGGCGGGCCCCTGGATGCTCATCTGGCCGTTATTAAATGCCTAAAATCCTTGAGCTTCCGGGGGCTCTGCCCTCTGGACCTCGCTCCAATTAGTGACCTGCCAGACTGGCATATTTTGATACCTTATTTGTGCTACTGAGTAGCACAAAATAATAAGGTATCAAAATATGCTCATCTGACCGTTATTAAATGCCTAAAACCCTGACTGCTCATCTAATCGTAGTTAAATGCCTAAAACCCCTGAGCTTTAGCTCCCCACACCCCTCCCCCCCCCCCCTCTCCCCAACGTTTTTGCTCATTACGCCACTGGTCCCCTTGCTCAATATGTTCCCTCATCCCTCGCATTTCGTCCCCCGGTCATGAAAAGAAATCGCCGCATCTGATTGTAGGTGTTTGAAGCCCTAATTAATTGAAGCCCTAATTAATTGGAGAGCAAGCTAGCTTTAATCTATCCTCTTCTCTTTCGTGATTTATTTCTTTGCTTTTCCTTCGATCTATCTTCTTCTCTTTCGTTATGTCTTTGTTTCTCCTACAATCTATGCTCTTATCTTTCGTTATTATGTCCTAATCTGTTTTTCCTTCAATCTATATCCTCTTTTCTTTCGTCATGTATTTCTTTGTTTTTCCTTCAATCTATTCTCTTCTGTTTCGTTATGTCTCCGTTCTCCTTCAATCCATCCTCTTCTTTTTCGTCATGTATTTCTTTGTTTGTCCATATAAATGTATCCTCTTCTCGTCCGTTATGTATTTATTTGCTTTTCCTTCTCAATATCCTCTCCATTCTTCGTATGTTTTTTCTTGTTTTCCCTTTTCTATTATCTTCCCTTCCCTGGGTGTAGGTGCTTGCACATGTACTATATTGCTGATGGTGATTGTAAGCGGTGTGCGCTGATGACTTAGACTCTTTCACCAGAGCACTTCTAGTAATTTCTTCTCCAAAATGGCTAAACAGTTGTGTTAAAACGATATGCGAGCGCGGGCCATGGTCGGGCCAATCCATGATTTATTTATTTTTATTTTGAAGGGGTAAGGGGGGGGGGGGGGGTACTCCATTCCGATAAAAAAAATTATGACAAGCAAGCAAGGCAATAGTTAATACATTCTTCAGGTCAGGGGGGCGGGAGTAAGAGGACACTTTTTTTTTTTTTAGTCTCGAAATTTAAAAATTTTACATTTTGTTCCGTTGAGGGTGGGGGGCGGGGGGGGGGGGGGGGTAAGGTCACCTTTTTTAGGTCAGCCATTGGCATAATTTGTTTTGTCTTTTTATTTTTGTAATATTTGTTTTAAGTGTCAGATGGTGTTGAGAAAATGAACCCACAAATCCTTATAACCTTTTTTTCGACTTGTCAACAAATTCTTGGAGCATTATGTACCCCCCCCCCGTTCCTTTTAATACATAACCCTCTAAAACGCCTGATGAGTTCTGCTCTTAAAAACCTTTTATGTATATGTGAATGTAACATTTTACCCTTTGACTATTCCCCATAGGCTTGTAGTATAGGCCCACTGGAATCGTCCTGTTCCACTGGGAGCCAATGCCCGCTAACGTTGTCGAATCAGTCATCGGGCGGAATATCGTAATGGTAATAATAACTCCTAATCCATAAGCACTAGAGTTATAATCATAGCCATCACAATACAAATAATGAAACATAACTTTTTGCTTGCTTGTGTCGAATACAACTTGATACATGTACTTTATTAGCTGTATTCACAGTAAAAATGGAAACATCACGAAATGATAAAGCGAGTTTTACAACAATTAGTATGTTATTACATTTTTTCTTACCCATGATCAGGCCCAGATGGACTGGATAATACTAACGAAGTGGTAGGCCTGCACATTATAACAGAAGTGGTATATTTACAAGGTCATTATCCCGAGGGGTGGGGAGGGGGGGGGTATAAACGAAATTAAAAGTCTGTAACTGAGATTATTGAGGCACACTGGATGTTCGAGGTACGCTCTCACTTTAACAAAACATAGGAAAATATGTAAGCTATGTTCCTGCCATTTGCGGCACCCAAGCTAATCATCCGTCAACTTCAGGTGGCGCTGTCAAGCGCTGCTGTGGTCTTCACGAGAGCACGCCACGCAACTACAAATAATATAGCTTAAATAGCTTAAAACATTAATGAACACGAGGAAAAAATACAAACAAACAAAAAGCACTCCTCTCCGTAATTCTGATGACGGAAGAGTCCTCTGAAAAATAGCACAATGTCATCTTTTCTCTCATTCCTTTATAAAAGAAATCAACAATTGAAGAATGACCATCCAAGAATCTGGTTATATTTCAAACGGAGAATGAACAGAATTTCTTAGCTACATATTTGTCTATTTACTGATTACTAAACATACTTTGTTCATGTTTTATGGTAAAACAGCATCTGAGGAACTAACAAGATCTGCTTCAAGTTATTTCCTCTTTTCTCGTGCTTTTTCCATTATATTTATCGTTTCATTGCATAATTTATTGTGATATAATTATTCTTGTATTATGTTTTGTATGAGAAATAAAATCATTTGAATCATTTGAATCATTTGAAAGAATAACATTATCGTCGAAGAAAACATCTTAGATAAGGATCAAATGAAAGGAAATCATGCTCCCATTTTTGCGCAGTATTTTTATCATGGCTAAGTGTTCTTATACAGCATTTGAACTGTAATCATCCACAATATTTCAAGCACAAAAATGAACGGAAAGAATTATGTCGTCGAAGAAAACATATAAGATAAGCAACCAATGAAAGGAAAATTTGATCCGATACATGCACAGTATTTTGTATTATGGTTAAGACGTGTTCTTATACAGGTATGCGTATGCGTGCAGCATCATTGTGATCTGGAAGTCGCCGAATCACCTTCCAAGATTTTGGATTTGAACCAGAAACCCGCGCGGGTGCAGTGTCAGGGCTGGGGGATTAAGTGGTCACATGGTGTACTATGGCCATTGGCAGTTCGGCTCCGTGTCCAACATCAATCATGCCTTCAGTCGTCTGAAAGAATAACGTCGTCATTTACACTCTCTTAACCAAAGCGGCGACAATGTCGTAAGTCGTAACACTACTCTTCAGCCTTCACCACACCGTCAGGAATAGTCATTTTACACAATAATATAAGGCAGCGACAAATCTTATGAATAAACTACTGGTGAACATTCTTTTGTTACAAAAACCGTGACTATACATGTATATACAAAAGTTGAAAAAATACGGTTAATCCCATCAAGGAATAATACAGCTAGGTGGAACTTCTTTTCATATCTTTGGAAACATCATACAAGTCATAATCATAATGACAATGGAATGTTTAAGAACTGGGACAAACTTTTGCCTTATCGTCACCGTTTTCACGAAGTGGCCCCAGTGGCCAAAATCGTTGAAATTTTTAATTTCGAGTTTTGACCGTTTTGAGCAATGTATATAAATGTCTACAACTTCAGTAATTTTCAAAGTCTAATCTTGCTTAATTACGTCATACGTGACGTCACGAAACGTATCACAAGCGGTACAACTGGCAAACACCGTTTTCACGAAGTGGCCTCTTACGCGCAAATGTAGTCTGCTATTGATAATCGTACACGAACCGGCTCCGCGAAGCCCTTGTCACAGATGCCGGTGCTTCTGGCGGAATTGTTAGAGGAATCTGACAGCCCTAGGTAATTATTTTCACTTATTTTAAAACAATGTTATGCATCGTTCAATAATATCGTCTGTAGCAGTATAAACAAACTCATATTCTAAACGGATATCAAGTTACGAAATGGCGAGATAGGTCATTACAGTCCCACGCACTGTTTTCTGCGTGAGTTGTATTGTCGATCTACTAGTATGCAGATCTAGTAGTACGTAGAACTCGCCTACTACTACTAACTCAACAGAGTGCTACTAAGTATCAAGTAACACAGTATCTTAGATAAGCTTGAACATGTATAAGTGCAGGAGCAGTTACATGCAATAACAACAATGTCACGAGTCACAAGGCGAATTCGCTGAAGAGTGAAGCCCAGGCCAGGGCGCGCAATTTTTTTTTACACGCTAGCCTGGCCATTTCTATAACGCCATTGAAACGACTAATATTAGTCTAGCAGCCTACATGCGAGGAGCATGATGATAAACATGTACATCGTGCATGGCAATCATCAGATAAAGACATATAGCTGGCCCTTTTAAATGAGACGGCCATCTCAGCCATTGGGCGATGGAATTCAAAAACTTAATCTATTTTAATTTAATTTAGGAACTTTACATTAATCTTGATCTAAGCTTAAGACACGAACGACCGAACGTTCAGCTAGAGAGCAATCAAGTTAAACTGCGGTAGGCCTAGTGCACGCCTATATGTAGGCTTTACCTCCAGCGCACTTTTACAAGTATTACGGCGAAACTGGCCAGACTAGCGTGTAAAAAAATATTCGCGGCCAGGGCAGGGGAGATATCATTAATAATAATTTTACATTAACTATGTTAACTGATTAAGCAGTACCAGCCCAAGCCTCCAAGGCAAGGCCCAATTAGCCAAGGGCACATTTTGGTGAAAATTCAATGTCAATGTTGATATGACAATGCCAAATCATAAAATGGCAATTGCGACGTAGGAGTTGAGTCTAGGCTCGAGCGCGAGCCTAGAGTCTAGATCTACTACGTTAGTACTTACGTACTCCTAGTACTAGATTTAAATGTTACATGACCCCCTCGTAAGCTCTTTCCATGTTCATGTTATAAATACGAGACTGAGACTTGAATAGTAAAGCCAGGTATGCTTGAATGAATAAACAATTTTGTGCTTGCTAATAATTTAAAGGGAAATCCAACCATGAGAATTGAGATGAAGTGGCTTAATTTCAGCAAATGCAGAAAAATGAAGCAAATACATTTCATGTTTCTTCCCGGTTTTACCAGTAGAATAGCCGGCTGAGAGGACCATCACTAGCACTCCCAGTGGCTGATGTCTAAGTAGGAGTTTGATGTGGAGAGCTTTAAGCATGTTGTTGAGGTACTAATGGATGAGGGGGGGGGGGGGGGGGGGGGAGTCAACCTAGCATAGGCTGGAGCGGCTTCTTATACACTCGGCTTTATGCTCATAAACGCATGCCTGCTCTTAATTAATTTGCTTTAAAGACAAAGATAAAGCTGATGGTATGGGAAGACGTCCACTCCAAATTCCTCCCTCTTTATCGTGCATGATAATTTCATTTTGCCACCAAAGTTGTGGTTGAGCTACTTAAGGTGTACCTTTTGCCTTGGACTTAGAGGATGACAGGCTTTTTGTTTTGTTGGGGGGGGGGGGGGGTTGCTTATAATAATAGTACTACCGTAGTTGCTTCTGGTATAGCGCACATGTCCGTCACGTTGTGAGGGGGGGGGGGGGGGGGGGGAGTTAGCACTAATTTGGGTTGTTTCATCCCATGTTTACAAGACTGAGACTTAATTATGCAAGGTCTTCTTAATTGCTTTAGATAATGATGTGCTTGCTAATATTAAGTTAAAGGGATATTCAACCGTGAGATGAAGTGGCTTGTTTGAACAAATGCAGAAAAATTAAACAAATACTTTTCATATTTTTCATAGTTTACCAGTAGAATAGACAGCTGGGATACGCAAGAGATGAGGGACCACTAGCACCCCCAGTGGTTGATGTCCATGTAGGAGTTTGTGCAGCTGATGTGGAGAGCTTTTAGCAAATTGACAAGGTATGTGTGGTAAGGAAATTAGCTCCAAAAGAAAAGTTATAGATTAGGAGTTGAGCTGGCGAGGGGGAGGGGTCAATCTTTAGCAAACAAATGAACTATTTTCATTTACATAACAATGATCCATGGACAAAACTATGCTGGGAAGTAATTTTCTAATGTGCGCAAAGTGGTGGGGGTGCTAGGAGGGCCCTCCAAAGATGACGGGTTCCCAAACACTCAATTTTTTTTCATAAACGCGTGACTGATCTTGCTTTGAAAGGTTTTAGGCAGGTGATGGTATTGTAAGGCATCAAACACAAATTCCTCGCTCTTTAATGTGCGTGACAGACATTCATTTTGCCAATATGTCATGTTTGAGCTACTTATGGTGTATCAACTTACAAGATGGCAGGCTTCATCTTATATTTTGTATTTTTCTTATTGTCTTTTTTTCATAGGGGGAAGGGGGTGAAGAAGGAGAGTTACACTAATTTGTGTTGTTCCATCACAGAAAAAATAAATAATATGCATTAACCTGATGCCTGTAATTTTTTGAAGAGATGCGATTTTAAAATCATATCATCCCAGTATAGCTTCCTGTACGAGCTGTGTTGGGGGTTTTCTGCATCCATCATGAGTTATCAAATATATTCTCCTTTTAACCCAGCATCTTCACCCTCTGCCCTTGAACTGATTGCTTTTCCAATACCATGGTTTAGAGGTCAGACCAAACGACTGACAGACCGACCGACTGAATAGCTAAGTCCCCTCAGTCATCAAAGGTAAGTTTTAACCTAATTTGTTACATTTTATATTGTTTATATATATATGAAATATTTTTATAATTTTGACTGGCTTTAATGGGAATATGAAACTATATTGCCCAAATATAATCATATTGGCCGGGTCAAAGACGAGGGCAATATGGTTATGTTGAGGGCGATATTGTCTCATATCAACCAAAATGTGAGCCAGTCAATGTTATTATTATCAATTATCCTCTTCATATATTTCAAGTATCACTTCTACATGTATCATGTACAAGTACCCAGATGTGAAACGTATGATGCTCTTATATTACCCGCTGCTACATCATGCGTGTCTTTATGCGATAATTGCACCATAAATAATAATGAATGATATTATACGCTTGACTAACTTTGAATATTGATCCTTATTGAGTGGTCTTTCTGAAAGTTGATATAATAAAGTTTCTTTCAATCTGGCAGACTAGTACATGCAAGTGCATTCATTGTTACTTACTGGGTTTATAACATTCATCACAAATTTGCTGATAACCTGCAGATTTTATATCTTCTTTAGATATGAACATATCAATTCAATGATTGACAACAAACCCAGTAATACATATGGAACCCTATCATATCATCTTCAGTGGTTGATAACTACTGTATAGATGTCCGCTACATTTTTTTTATTGAAATGGAATACAATAGTACCATACAGACCATGGAGTATGCTGTCACAATTTTTTAAACAATATACCAATCCTCCCAACCTAAAAGTGTTGAACACAGGAAAGCCATTCATATTTTTAAATAGGAGTTATACCACTCTGATTTCCTACCAGGAATTTAGTGCCACATGTCACAAATTGCATTCTAAGTGAATAAATGATGCAACAGTATTTATAAAACAATTGCAAATCTGCTTTTCTACTCGGTGCATGCTTTGCTTTTTTTCTGTTAAAAGTAGACCTTAAATTCATATTCTGATTTTCATTTATAGTTACTGTATATTTCAAAATATCAATTTAGGACAGAGTAAAACCACTTTTTATTTAATACCCGTTTCTAGGTTTCATTCCTGTTTTATGAAATAAAATTACTATGTCCTCTCTACTTATCATTGAACAGAGTTATTGATAACTTGATTGTAACAATCTTTTGTCAATTACCTCTTAGGATGGACAAAAATACAGAAGTTATTGTTAGGTGGGATCGTGATGGAGAGATCAATTGTGGCAAGAAACGAGATCTTAGGGTTAGGGTGGGTTCAAGAGTCACTATGAGCTAGATGGATGTGGACTGGACGGGGACTGCAACGCTGACAGGAGACTCTGACTCCGAATGTGCCTCCATTTAGAGGTTTTGTGGTCTAGTGGATAAGTCGTTGGACTGTGGATCACAGGATCCATGGTTCAAGTCCCGCCACAGCAGTAATGTCTTTTGGCAAGATATTAATCTACAATTTTGCCACTCTGCTGTGAGCACCGAAAGCGGCTGCCTAGCAGAGCCAGGGTAATAGTTGGAGCGCCTTGAGCATATTGTTATTATTATTTTGACAGTGACAACCTCCCTCCTTCCTCACTAAGAACAGCACAGACTAAGGTCATCGGCATCATATGAAAGTTGCATGTAAGAAGTTTTAATCCCATAAACTTACAGTGTTGTATGTTTTTAGAAGGATTTGGCATGTAGGACTAATATTAATTGCTAATAGTTTATATTTCAAAGGGCAATCCAACCTTTGTAACAAGTTGATTTATGTTAAAGCAGAACAAAATGAGTGTAATAGACTGGTGAAAGTTTGAACGAAATCAGACATAGAATAAGAAATAATGTTTGAAAAGTTAGATTACAACATCTATGTAAATCTCAGATCTGCAATTTTATGAGGCAACAGGGACGTATGCAGCTGACAACTTTGTATGTCATACACAAAAAATATAAATAATTAATGATTTTCTTTTAAGCTCCTCTTCCATTGTGGCAGTATTCAAACTATATTGTAACCCTCCCTCCCCCTAATCAGTGGCCTTGTGAATTTGAATTTCAGAATTTTCCAAGAACACCGGTACCCCCCTTCTTTATAGAGCTACCATGTTGTATTTTTTGCCATGAGTGTGGGCTACAGTTAAATAAGTTGCAATTTTGATATTCAAACATGATTCATTACACCGGAGTGTTGGCTCAGTCAGTAGAGCGTCCGCCTCACAACCGGGAGGTCGTGGGTTCGAATCCCGGCCGCGTCATACCAAAAGACGTTAAAAGATGGGAGTTGTTGCTACCTTGTTTGGCGTTCAACAATAAGGGATAGAGCAACGTCGATCTGGCGCTGCTCAGTGGCTGCCGGGCTCACGATCAATTGGGCAAAAAGAATTTCCGTTTCGGTTTAATAAAATTTTGAGTGAACTATTAGGCTAATATTATTATTATTATTATTATTATTACTATGATTTATCAATTTTTAATGATTGTACATGTAATTGTGAAATGAACTGTACAAAAATGATTCCAGTTACTGTATATTGCAAAGAAATAAATGCAGTCATAATCAAGACGAAAGTAGTAATCTTAAGATTTTATTGCTTTGTGCTATTCAACGTTTATTCTTATGTAGTTAGATTTGTTTATAGGAGAATGTGTCTGAGAGAGTAATGTACTAAAATGATAATGACTTATGTGACAACAAAGAGGGGTAATAAACGACAAAAAGAGAGATAAAGAGAGAGAAAGAAAGAGAAGGAGGGGAATGTTCTTGTTTGCATGAGAGAGCTAGAGAGGAGAGAGAGAGAGAGAGAGAGAGAAAGAAAGAATTGAGAAGAAGTTGTACATAGTGCTTGGTGTGCCCCCCCCCAAAAAAAGTATACAAATATGCTATTGATCATTGACAAAAATATTCAATTAAACTTAAATCACATATGAAGCAGGACAGTATATACAATTTCCATAACAGGCATTCAGAGTCACTAACAAATTATTGCATTTCCTGCATTATGTGAAGGATTAAAGATGAATTTCTGGATGGGGCAGAGTGATGCGAGTCTAATATTGAATATAGTGCTGTGATTTCGAGGAAACAGAATCAGCTAGGTATGACAAATATAGTTTTATGGGTGGGGGGGGGGGGGGGGGGTACGCAAATGGGCATTGCTTTGCACAGCGCGCACGTCAACTGGGACGGTTCGTAAAAACGAAATTTCACATAACCAACAGGGGAAACGGGGCCGCGTAGGCTGCGGGGCCACTACGTGAAGACGAGCCTAAGCGTGGGTGTCAAGTTTTTCGTTTTCACGAACCGTCCTCTGACTGTCCTCTGTGATTGAGGTCTAATTATTGTTTAAATAAACATTATTTCCACGTAAAACTTATATCATTTCATTCTGTAGATAGTGTACTATCAAGATATCCAAAAAAATGAATACCATCACATACTTTTTCCCCGTGAAAACAGCGATTGTAAAAAAGTGAAACTTTAAACGCGTTTATCTCAAAATTTGTTTCTGTACGCTAAAACGCTCTTGGGACACTTCGTGAAAACGGTGACGTTATGTCCTAGCTGCTTACAATTACGACAGCGCAATGGGAACCAGTACCAACAGAAAGGAACACGATGGCTTGGTTCCCCGCAGTAGGGGCAGCCGTATGGTTGATGAACCGCTCCCTGGTTGTTCTTGAATGCTCGGCTCACCAGGACGGGAACAATGAACCTCCAGAAAAATCTGTCCATGTCCATCACGAAAGATCCTTGCCATTGTGGATCCCGTTCGATCCTCTCGAGGAACACCCCGCTGTCTTTGTAGACAAAGAAGTCGCACCAGGACCGTCCTGTCACGGCGAGTTGGGCCTGGATCTGGTCATAGTACGGATGGTTCCTCTTCAGATGAAACTTCCCTCCGTTGTCCCTTCTCAGGAACTTCTCGTTGCGGGGCGACGGCTTTTCAGTCGGGGCAGTACTGGGGCATTTGATTTCGACGAGGCCACCACCACAGCAGCTGCAGCTCACTAGCCCATCTGGTGACGCCTCCAGGAAAGACTTCCGTGGATGGAAGAACATATACTCCTTCACATCGACATCTTGATGACCTTTTATCCGCTGATACTCGGCGTACTTTGCCCTAGCCACCGGCTCCATTTCATAACCGCGAGCAATCGAAGGTAGATACTTCAGTGAGCGTCCATTTCCAATAATCCTTCCCGCTAGAGACCATGGGTTCGCTCTCCGTCGGTTGCCGCGATACCTCATGAAACGTAAAACGCTCCCGACGTTGGACGCGCCGATGCAGCCATACCGGTATTTCGACCATAGCTCGTTGTCACTCTGGCCTTGTGTAGCCCTCTGGATAGCGTTTCTGTCGTACTTAGTGTAAATGGGTAAGCTGAATACTCCATTATTTAGTGGAGTAACAAAGCATTATTTTGGTCCTTCATGCTTCGCGGCAAATCATATTTTTGACGATCGGTCACCATGATTTGTTACGGATACTGCACTCGTAGAAGGCTGAAATGTGATCGGAGCCGTCGGTAACGATATATCGGCATCAATTGCTGACGTGTTTTCCCGTTTTAGACCGGCTGATTGATTCCCAGCAATAATCTGCATTTGTAAAGAGACAATTGAAATAACAAGTTTTTCCTAGACATGTGACAATTAAAATAACAACAGTAGATGGTACTCAGATTTGGTTTTGACGGGGGTGTGATCAAGCCTCGAAACCCATACCCATTTTTAAGGGTCATTATGGCGGATTTTTTTTCTCCAAGTAAAGCCCATTTTTCAAAATTGTCGGGTGTTTGCATGGCAAAAACCGGAGTTGAACCAGTAAAATAAAAACAAACTCACAAAAAGTTGCTGGAAGTCATCTTCAATAAAAACCACAAATTTCATTTGCACATAGTGACTTTGTGTTAAGCACAATGGTGTTGGACCTATATACCTTGATTTCCTTTTAATTTTATGCTCATTCCTCAGCCCTATCCATTTTCTACCAGAATCGTGTGAAACATATCATTTATTAGTAATCCTGATCATTCATAGTGTGTTTTGTTGGAATCCGTTGAAATTTACTTTCAATCGTTGTCAGAACTTAAAGTCACCTAAGCACATTTGTATAAACCACAATTTTTGGTTGCTCTTGAAAACTGCTCCTCGCAACCTGTACTAATATGAAACTTGTATAGAGAGAGACCACCAGCTGTTAATCGCATAATTATCTCCCTCCCTCAAGCCGTCTTTTCTTATGAGTTTCACTGTACTGTGTGTACTTCCAGATTCAAGACTCGCTCCCTTCCAATTAGTCCAGATTCAGTCCGTTCGTTCTTTTTATCCCCCACACACATCGCGGTCTCTCCACTGATCGCGCAATCCCCAAATTTCCTACCACACGAATGTATTCGAGGTCCAGATTTAGAGGAATGGCTAGGTCTACTTTCAACGTTGAGGGTGTGTTATTTTATCAGCTGATTGGGTGCCCTAAACGAAAACGGTACAGAGGCTGGACTACGTTCCAATATGATTATGTAAAAATATACTTTATGGCCAAATGAGACATGAAATCATTTCTCCGACTCATACTCTATCTAAATATGAAGAAAAAAAATGGCAGTCCTTATTCATCCGATGTTTTTGCCCATATATGCTATGTAATACATGAGCTAGCACGCACGAATATTTATCTTTAACGGACGCTCCTTCCGTTATTAATAGTGATAAAGAGATGAACATGGTATCAAATTGTTCAGAAAAATATGAGGAATATCCTGTCAACAAAAATTGAGGGGTAATTATTTTTCGTTCGGCCGTGACGAACGAAACGCGCAAAAATGCGTGTTTTGCGCGATTTTTTATGAAATGCTTATAATGGCCTGAAACGTATGCAAAAAAAATTTAAGACGATTTTGAGCAATTAAAAATTTTATTAAGAAAATGGCCATCTAGTAATCACTCCCTAAAGACGTTAAGCCAAGTCGGTCGGACTACAGTAGTTCATTCATTGTATCCAACTCATTTTCACGGTCCCTTTCGTTGTCGATACGTAAACAAATGTATAAAAAGGTGATGATAATTATATAGGCAGCCTTAAAAGAGTTATGACGAAATACAACAAATAAAGCGAAACTATTAAAGCGCGAGTAAACAAAACATTTCATGGAAATAAGTGTTTTGGGACTAACTAACGAGTCATCATCTACCAGTGACGTACAGCTATTCCTCAGAATTCCTAAGAAGAAAAAAAAAATCGAAATAAGTATTTACCGATATTTTCATTCATATTAAGAGTGTACACTTGGAGAACATACCATCAAACTTCGAAAATCATTCTCTTTATCGTTGCATACCTTATTCCTCCCCAAATGACTTTTCATGACATGTTTCGGTCATTTTATCCCGCCCCGCCCCCACTCAGTGTTATAGGGTACGCATGCGATATAAATATGTGATATAAATACGACCATATACGTATCGGCGGATAGATGATTTCAGTCGATTTCTTCCGGGGGAACGAGGTATAGTACTAATCGCATGCGAAGCCAGCTCGGCTGCTGTACTGTGAGGACATATCCACTAAAGGCGCGAGAAGCAGTAGACAGCAGTATTTCAGCTTCACGTGGGATATATCGTGAGTTTCTTTTATATCTGTTTTATCTACATAATTCTATGTCTCTAATCTACAAAATTATTGTCTACATGCAGTACAGCCTAATATTACGTTAGTTGATAGTATATTTACTCACTGACACTGTTAATATCTAATCATGGCTGTTCTTGTTAATTTGTGATGGGGGCGCAGGCGCGGATCCAGGATTTTCCAATAGGGGGGGCCGCAAAATCGAAAATCGCGCAGACCGTTATTTCAACTTACCAATACTGACAAGGTCATATTAGAAGCACTGTACTTAGTGTACTGGTACCTACAATCGGGCACAATTTTTGAAAGGGGACATGCTCACGTCACGTCTCTTGTCCGATATTAACATTACCCGTTTTCAAGTTATGCTCGCGCGCAATTTTATTTGACATTTCCATCAATGGGAGCTGAAGCCTCCAATATCTATTTCCTGGTTTCATAATTTGGCGAGCGGAAATTTGAGCATAATTATGTATGTTGTGAAAGTGTTATTTGTCACCAAAATATACGAGATAAGATATAAAAAATGCATATTGGTAATTTTTAAATTTTCGGGGAAAGAGAGGCTGCAACCCCATCCCGCATTGACTGCAGGTGTTTTGAAATGAAATCAGACGCCCCAAAAAATTATTAACCAAAACGCACGAATCCAGTTAAAAAATTCAGCTTCAGAGATAGAGAGGACACCCCCCTCAGACTCCCTCTAAAAGTATTAACCGAATCGCACGAATCCAGTTAAAAAATTCAGCTTCAGAGATAGAGAGGACATCCCCCCACAGACACCCCCTTTGCGCGCAAGCGCGAAATTAACGCTGGCGCGTCCGGGCGCTAATGGGTAAGCAGGGGCGGCGGAGCTATTTCCAAAGTGGAAAGCACCAACAAAGAAGGGCACCTACAAAGCGAAATCTCAAAGCGAAAATATACATTTTGTTTAGACATTGGTATATACCCCTTCATTGTGATTCCATTATCAGGGACGATTTCCATATTTGTTTTTCTTTATAATTATACAACATATTGCTTAAGCATCACACTGTCGGTTGGGTGTGATTGTTTGAATATTCATTTGCGAGCGAGCAAAGCGAGCGAGAAAAAAAAGTAAGATTTGTGAGGTCGCAGAGTGAAAATTTACATCTTATAAAGAGGAAAAAAACAAAAAATGATGGGGTTACAAGTACATTCTCATAACGGAAGACTGAAAAGACCTTTGTTAAGTGACATGTAATATTGTATCATCTATAAATGCGAGCGAGTGATCTTTAGGGGAAATTACTCTTAGTCGCTTTAAATTAGGTGCAAGACTAAATGATGGAGAGGTAAAGGGGAAACTTATCGAAAGTGATAAAGACACATATTAGAAAAGAAAAGGAGCATGTGTCAAAGTACAAAGAGTAATTATCAAAGGTTCAAACGGGGCACTTCTTACACCTGAAAAGAGGCACTCACCAGAAATGAGATAGGGCACTTATGAGTATGGGAAATGGGCATTTGTCGACGGAAAAGGGGCATCCATCAGAAATTGATTTATCAGAGGTGAAAAGGGGCATTTATGAAAAGGGGATAGGTCCCTAATATTAGAAAGGAAAAGGGGCACGATTCAAAATAAAATGGCAGTTAGCAGAGGTGAAAATGGGCACCCATCATAGATGAAAAGAGTACTTATCAGGAGGGGAAGGGGTACTTTTCAAAGTAAAACGAGTATCTCTCAGATTTGAATAGGGGCAATTATCGGAGGTGAAGAGCGCACTGAAGTGAAAAGAATTAACTTCTCGTATATGAAAAAGGTTATTTACCAGAAATGAAAAGGGATACTTATGAGAATGAAAAGGGACACTTTTTTATGAAGGGCCTCATTTTTCTAAATAGCCCTTATCAGATAGGAAAGGGGGGACATGTGTTGATAAAATGTGCGCTTATCCGAGTTAAAAAGGGGTAGCTCTGAAAAGGGGAAGGGGCACTTCTTACAAAGTAAAAGTGGCAATTTGGGGGTACTTGGAAAAGTGGGGGAACTTTGCCCCCTACCCCTGCCACCCGCCCCATCATCTAAAAATCCAAAATGATGTTGTAGGGGCCGGGCGCGGCTTTATCATGAGTGCTTTTATGTGATCCTCTTTTTTATGAATATATTTTTCCTGGAATCCGACCCAGATTGCACACCCTAAAATGATGATCATCTCCAATATGCTTGCAGTTCACGTATGCACCCCTTCCTCCTTATCCATCGTTACCGTCACTGCCGGTGTGACCGCGCCGTTTGTCCTACCAGTTTCGTTTGTCCGTCGGACATAATATGCGGGTTTTCTGCTCGCACGGATCGTCCGCGACTCGCACGGATCGTCCGAGGGACGATCCGTGCGGATTGCTATCCGCGCAGTCTGTCCCCCCATTGTTTTACGTGTATATTTGATAAAAGGAAGAAACTCGGCAAATCAATGTATTTAGACCCATTGTAAATCATGTGGTTGGCATTTTTTCTAGAAATTACATAATAATAACTCTCTACAATTTTTTTAAGCAAATGGGCCAGTCCTTTTGAAAGTAGAAGTGAATATTTTCTTTAAAACCTTTATTCTATGAAGGCATACTCGTGATATCGGCCCCACAATTACTGTTGTAA